CCCCCCCGCGCTCACATCATTCAAGCTCCTCCGACGGAAGCGCAGCAAAGATCCGCGGCGGGTGAGCGAAAAAGCTGATGCTCGCAGCGGCTGGTGTGCTGCTGCTGCTCGATGCATGCATGCAATTACGAAGCAAAATAATTGTGGGGCCTTGTGCCTGAAGCGATCAACCCAGAGTGTGCTGGCCCCCTTAGTGACTACTGACTAGCTTGCGCCTGCGACAGCGGGACAACACATCAGAGATCGGCCCTGAGCAACAGGCTCTCTTTGATCGTGATGGCATATGAACGACGAAGACCGTGATTTTTCCCAGGCATTCAAAGCACGAGCGACGCTGCCGCGGGCGCGCCATCCGAAGCACTCACGACTGCGTGAGGGAAATTCGTCCATTGACCTCTCATCGGCCCCTCCTCGGCTGAACATGGCGGACCAAAAAAACAAAACAAGTAAAGGCATCGCAAATGGCGGTCTGGGATCGAGAGCCATCAATCAGCACAATCGTGGATGTGAACATGTATTGGAATCGGGTGCTTGCTCGCCGACAAGATACTCGCTGACCACGGAGGCAAAATGTGTTACCGTGTGAGGGGGTCTGGTCACTCGAGGCGTTTAGTTCCAACAAAGTAATCAAGATCCTTTCCCACCTTGTCCGGCACATCGTGATTGCACGCGAGAGTCTTGCTTCAAGAGGCACTCGAAGTCATGATGCCAAGTTTGTCTGGCCTCAATCGTGAATGCGTGAAACAAATCTAAGCGGTCTTGGAGACTCAGCATGCAGCAGCAGCCAGGAAATTGGTGCGTTTACAGCGCTAGCACTCCGCAGCGTCGGGTGCCTGATGGCTGTCTGCTTGGCCGTGGCTGCAGCTCTATATGCAGCCCGGCGAAGACTTGCAGAATTTGAGATCCAAATCGATGCGCCCCGTGCGAAGTCTGATGAGCTTTGGCCATGACGACCTAGATGGAATGCAGCTATAGGTAATCAATGCTGCGATTGCAGCTGCGTCTGCAGCATCCAGACACACGCAAACGCGTGTGCTTCCGCCCAATTGGGACATCGAAGTCATCTTGGGTCGAGGCAGCGTCGTCTTAGTGCTTAGGATTGGGCGTGTTGGGACGATCTCATTCTGATGAGCTTTTGGACGACAAAGTACAATCAACCTCACGTTGCGGGTAACTTGTCGCCCAAGGAGCTAGGAGGGCCGGGAACACGGCCCGCTGTGGGTACGCTGCGTGCGTTGGGGGGCTATGCGCAGCAGCTGAAACTTTTGCGCTCACGACAGCTGCATATCGTATGTATAGGACAAATGTACATATACAGTATGGCTGTGCTGGAATGCCCGCTAGCCAGCATTGGAGCGAATGGCCGTCGCGGAGCCGATCGTGCCGTCAAGGACACGCAGATCAATCCAGCCGTCTCGATCGAGCTCCGCGAGACGGAAAGGAGCAACCGAGACATCAGCGAGGCAGGTGGGGTAGCAGCGACCCCAAGGCAAACCGGCAGCGCCCTCACAACAAGCCTTCATTCGATCGCTAAGATCGTGTCGTGTACAGTCAAGAGTAGCGATGCTGCTGCTGTAAATGTACACATGCAGTCACGAGAGGCGCCCAAAGAGTCTTTGGTTTCACCTGTACACGAGCCATCTTGCCCAGCGTTGCACCATTCCAGGTTCCCATTCAGCCGCTGGTCAACATGAGCTCGTTCGCTGCTGCATGTCGTCTTCTACTACTCACCACTTATTATACCTCGCAATCTACTCTTACGGCTATGTACGCTTACTACTCTTCTGACTGGCATAGGGCCCGGTGGACCGGCCAGCGCCACAATTACACACACACACACATACCAACACACAGCTAGGAGACAACAGCCCTGGCTATACAGATTCACACGCTCGCACATGCATCACCGCCTTGCTGCAATCGCGAACTGCGCCGGTCGGTGTGCAGGCAGAGCCAAATGATCCGGGTGGTGTGATCTTCACATTCTGGATCGTGAGTGATTCGTGATCAAGTTTCAAAAGTGGTACCGCGGCCAAGGCGCGTGACGGGGAAGGCGGTGCCAGCCTTGGTGACTCATCGAATGACCCCGAGCCGCAAGTCTCGAAACCACCCACTCGTGAGTCGTGAAAGCAGTGGTGCGGAACGTTCGGTGGGACTCATTCAGATTCAAAATTGTTTTCTCGACCTGCTCGTGCCTTCTCTATCCATCTGCATGACGTGAAAGGTACCGGCGATATGTAATCAGAATTACAATTGTCGTGTTTTACGCCCACGCAGCACCCTACGGTCATAAGAATGTGAAGACGCATCAGCATCACGAGCGACGCTAATTTAGCAGGGCGTTGTCACTGCACACCCTACAGCGCAGCAGAGGCGTAAGGCGCTTTTTTAGCCCCGGGTTTCAGTTTCGTGTGAGCCAAGACAAGTCAGTCGTGAGTCACTCAATCACGAATGCGAGCTCTATATAGCAGGGATGCCTCGTGATCGCATCTTGGGTTCTTGACAGTCGCGAAGGGCACAGTAGTACCACACGCTAGATGTGACTCAAGACTGCATTCATGTACAAGGGGGCAAGCGGCAGTGTAAGTAAGTGTGTGTGAAGCAGCTCTAGCACCAAAGCGCAGCTGATGAGAGGCGTGAGTGGCATGCTGCCTTGTCGGGCATACGAGCCTTCTGCATGCCCGCGTGGACGCTGCCTGTAGTCGCGGATGCACGGACGGAGATCGAATCATCCGACACCTGATCCCAGCTGTGAATCAAATCACGAATCGTGGGCTTCTCGTCTAGCTTCAGATGAGCGCCCGAGTGCTTTGCTAGCAGCAGCAGCACCAGCAGCTCTCATTTGTTGCTCAATTTGGACGGGTCCTTGCCTGGTGCCTACGCTAACGTCCAGAGGAAAGCAACTACGAATTTTAGAGTGTCTTGTCAACCATGAATGATCTTTGCCCTGAACTGTGGCCATTTCGCCCTTGCGCGGCCGTCGGACTCCGCTTTTTGAACTTTGCAGACAGAGTCGGACTCGTTCTCGCAAGCATTCATGCACCCAGGAGGAATCAGTCTGGAACATGACACCCTGCTGCTCTCTCTCCTGGTGAGGAGACCGCGCGCCGTCTTCGATCTCTCAGCCTCCGGTCTCAAGCTGGCGTAAGACCACCCGCGAGCGACCCGGAATCCCTCTCGAGTCACGAGCTCTCTGGTCCACAAGACGTACTATATGGCTGACTGCGAGCTAAGAAAGGCACAAATGGTCTTCGTCAGTAAACCTCATCCGTCATAAACGCCAAAGCTGGGCCACTGTGCTCCATCACATCGACAAGCGTGTCGACTGCCCTTCGCCCATTGCCACACCACCAACAGCCAGGCTCCGATGTTGGGTGAGGTAAAGCTATTCTGTCTTCACAAGCTGTTACACCAAGTCACGCTTTCCACGACCTTGAGCCGATCCACCACAAATGACCGAGTCTTCAGTGGTCTGGCCAAGCTGAACCTTCACGGTCCGAGCGCCGAATTCTGCGGGTCCTACGACGACGCCGCACGCTCGAGCGCAAAGGCAGACACCACACTTTTCAGGCCCTGAACCGCTCTTCGCGCCTACTGATCACGCTGCAGAGGTGACCGTTTCACAGACATTCACATTGCGCATACACGAACGCCGTCCAACCAAAGTGACTTCACGGCCGGGTCCTCCTTCCCGTCCGAGCTTTCCGACAGAGGCTTCAAAGCGTGGTGAAGGTAGATCGGACTTCGCAGGATGTCGGACAATTCCGGTCATGGTCATCAAGCGAAGCGTACAGGGCCCCTCGTTGAGGCGAGTGGTGAGTCGCAAGCTCAGCTCAACAAATGTAGTAACATTGCTCTTCTTTCTCACGCGAACGCAACCCCCTTTCACCAAAGGTGTAGACGGACTGCTGCTGGAAAACTTTTTGGAGTCATCACTCGCTCAACACCATCAAAGTGCGCACCCTTTTTTCCACGAAGTCGCAGACCCACTCCAGCGCAGAACACGAAGGAACGATCCGTCTAGCTTTAACGCCGGGCACGCTCTGAGTGTTGGGGAGAGGCCTGCAGTGTACCATCCTGAGAGTCTAACCTCAGCGCCAATGCATGACAGAGTTGATCTGGCACCTCAGGGCCTCATCGTGGGGCCTGTACACTCAACGGCGTCACTTTCCATTCCAGCTCAGACCTCTTTTCAGCCCCTCGCCACTCAGCCCCGAGAACACCAAGGCTGGGCAACACCTTCTTGGCAAGGGCAGTATCCCGCTTTGGACAGCAGTGCAGGGAGTTTTGGGAGCTTTGGAGGCGTTACTTGGCCAAGTGGGCAGCTAGGGGCCAACTTGCCTTCTGGACCGCTGCGTGCAAGGGCTCACACTTGGTACGACGAACAGTCGGGACGTACCGGAATGACTCCGATTGCTCACGCGCCTTCGTGGGGCTTGCAAACGAGTGCCAACCTGGCGCCTCAGCTGACGAGTCCCACAATGCTGGCAAGTGCAGGTCCAAGCGATTCGCCAGCCCTCAATAGCGACGACGGTTATAGCGAACATAGTCATCGCTTCAGCAATCCGCCCTTCTCGCTCAGCGCAAATCTCTCCCAAGCATCAGCCTCAACATCTGCAATCAATGAGACCACCCACCCTGGCTTCGCTTCTGAAGTCAGAGCTCCGCCAGGCGCGTCCCCTGCATTGTCTGAACGCACCAAAACGGACCTCTCACCCGAAGGCGAAGCTGAGGCAAGCGATGAGCGGCAAAGACGCACTATTCTCGCATGCGCGTTCTGCCGTTCGCGCAAGCTGAGATGTGATGGAGAGCAGCCATGTCGACAATGTGACCGGAGGGGCGAGAGATGTGAGTACGTCCTACCTCCTGCGGCCAAGAAGCGTGCCTTGAAGAAGAGTCAGGCCTCGGAAGTCTTGGCAAAGCCGCAGCCTGGAAGAGGCAGAAGCGCTTCCTCAGTCAATTCAAAGGGCAAGGCTGCCAGCGCACAGGCCGCGGGCGTGCAGAAGTCAAGCTCGCCTCCACCCAAGACTTCGTCCTCAAGCGCAGCTGTTAAGGGTCCTAGAAAACGAATGTCCGTGCTAGAGATGCCGGATGACCTGCCTGTAGTGACTGATGTGTCATCAACAAGCGGTTTGGTTCGAGCTGATCCTGGCGACGTCAGTCCGAACACATCGCTTGCCGATGAATCGTCTACACGCCCTCTGAGTGCCTCCGAGAATGCTGCAACGCACCGCGATGTACGGCGACATAGCGAAACTTCGATGCGAGGACCTCAACTGCGGCTGCCAAGCGGAGAGCAAAGCAGCGCACCTGTACCGAGCACAGGGTCAGGCAATTTGGTGCAACTCAACGCGATCCAGGCTGGAGACACTCGGGCGAGTGATTGCGCCATCCAGTTCGGCAACGCACCGTTCACTCCCGAGGCAACGCCTAACCGATCTCCCGCGCAAATAGCAGCACACATTTCGGACATCTTAGGAGACGTGGGCGCACTGACAGATGCTGTGCAAATGCTTTCCGTCAGCGAGCAGGAGCTGAATCCCACCAAAGCCGTCGTCGACACACAACATGCGCGACACTCAGAGGCCATGTATGCAGGCATACAGAGGGCTATCAAAAGCCAACAGTATGGATGGTGGGACGAAATGCTCGAGATGATCAGTCGCAGCGCGGCAAACCCGCTCCATGAACATCCAAGCTCGCGAGCGCGATCGTTGTTGTTGCAGTTCTGCACGGCCAACTCTTCACACGTCTACTTTCTCCACCCACCCACCTTGTTGCGACGTACACTGCACGCGTCCGGTCGCGAAAGTTGTCATCCTGCGCTCTACTTTGCTGCAGCTGCTGTGGGTACTCTTTCGCAGGATGCTAGCTCTCGCGAAGAAGAGTGGCGAGGAGAGCCAGCCACTGGCATGCAGCAGGATAGACTGCTGGCGCAGCGTTTGACAGCTGCAGCATACGCTCACTTGCACTCATTCGACATGTGCAATGCAGCTCTTGGTGTCCAAGGCGCGCAAGCTGCTGCGACTCTTGCCCTGCTCGAGTCCAACGACATTGGAAGACAACGCTCGGTCCTGCGTTTCTTCGTAGGCTTGATCAGCAGACTTGGACTCGAGCAGCATCTCGCCGCCACCACTCGAGTGGAAGACCATCTTCCTGTGCCCCCTTCACAGCCTGGCTTCTTCTCTCTGCCATCCGTCGAGCACAATGCCAGCGAAGAAAGTGACATCAGACGCGAGACTGCAGTGCGCCTCGTCTGGGCGCCTACAGTCATCGGTATGCGGTGCGTGCTCCGCGTCGCCCCCCGCGAATTGTCCGTTGAGGCTGACCACAAGCTCCTGCACCGTCTGTAGCAATCTCTCAAGAATTCCAGATGGTGATCTGGTCTGCACGGATACTTCCCGGATTGGGGCTGGAGGAGCTTGGCTCCCATCAGCACTGCATGCGAATCCAGCGGCGATTCCACAGTCTTTCTACGAGAGCCGCTTCTTGCTGAGAGTCGGAGTTGTTATCATGCGGATCGCGCAAATGATTGCCGTGCCGGACCGCAATTGCCCACAGCTGCTCTTTGCGCTACGAAAGGGCCCTCAAACACGCCACGCAGAGGCGCTCGCAGCTCTCGATTGCGTGGAGCCCTTGTTTGCAGGAGTACTTGGACCTTTCTTGGCTGATGAGAAGCTGATGGCGGGCCGGAAGATTGTCGAAGGAGTGAGTCGATCCCAACACAATCACCATGCCCATCAACCCTTGTATCAGCTGACCTGTACTTTCGACGGCATCAAGTTTTGTCACCTTGCAGCTCAGATCCGTTGCGATGCGCGAGCAGCGCTGGGCATCTGGCGTACGGAAGTGTATTCGGGCTCCCAGAAACAACAAAATCTGCCACCGAGCATCGAAGGGTGGATGCAGGCGCTCTCTTTTCGTTGCAAGGAGATTGAAGAGGATGTCGAGCGCATGCGCTCAGACAAAGATGGCTTCGAAGCTACCGGTCCGGAGATGGATTCTTGGCCCCGAAAGTTGCGGGTGTGTGGCAAAGTCCTCGAGGCATCTGGCTATCATCCGCACGTACAAGAGCGCACGTGGCAATACTTCAACGCGATCGAGGAGCACATTCGCCTGAGACCCTCGCGCACGCCTTTGCCCGTCACGGCAGCCGACTGGCCTGCGATAAGAGCAGAAGTACTGGGCATTCTCGCTACTGGTGGAGGAGTGGCCACATGAGCTCACCACATCAGTCATCGTCAAGAATCGTGACCGCACCTGGCTGATGCATTTATAATACCCTCACATCAAGATTGTGTCTGTTTGAAAAGTCTAATTTGTACCAGAGAATGATGAACGTCACATGTGTTGACCCCACGTTTTTGACGTTCGCGTGAGAGATTAACCAACACCACTTGTGATTGCCAGACGTTGAGGTCGCTTCTTCTCAATCGTCCTCGAGATGGCTTCATTGCTCACGTTTGGGTGGGCTGCCGGCTTCTGGGTGCTATTTGGCTTTTCAGCATCACGTTTCAGCATCATGTCATCAGGAAGCGGCCAGCGCTTCCGTGATTCACAATTGCAAGCTTCCGTGAGATCGAACGTCGTGTGTGAGTGTCCCGATCTGAATCACATATCATCGGGAAACCAGCACAAGCTCAGAATGAAAATGGACATATTCTGCTAAGCGAGGCCGGCATTCCGCCCATGAGCCGCGTGGACGATTTGACGCGAGCAGCTTTCTCGTGCGAGATGCCGACCAGTCGGTCACGAGGGCGCGCACAGCGTTCGCAAGCGCCTCCAGCAAATTTCCTCAAGCCGCCAAAGAGCCTGCAAGTAAGAGTCAAAGTCACTAGTCACGTCGTGAGTTAGTGAGTTGAGCGACGTGAGGAGTCGGGTCGATGCGCTGTTGACTCTTTCAGATACGACAACACCCGTGATAGCTCGCCCTCACTACTCGTGACTCACCACTAACTCGCAAGTCCGGGATACCGTCCTGATCTGAGTTGGCCGTCGCTCATCTACATGCATTGTTGGCATCGACACTCTCAGCCGTAGGAGCTGCGTCACCATATGCCTCTACAGATCTCTTGCAACCCTCAGAGGTGACCTGCCTACACTCACGGCCACCAATCGCTTCACGAACGAAGTGTCGAGGGTCGGCTTTTGCGTCCACATGGAGTCGGAGCTGCTACGGGCCGTAGCGATTGCATCGGCTCCTCAAAATCAGAATGCCGAGTTGATCCAATCCGCACACGCTTACCTTCAGCAGCTTCAGCAAAACACTCCAGAGTGCTGGCAGAGCGCTTGGAACGTGTTTTCCGCCCGAAAGCATGATGGTACCTCGGCGCTCCATTCGGACGACGCTCGTCTCTTCGCATTGAATCTCGTTCAGGATCTGCTGGAGAATCGGTGAGTGACAGGGTACCCTGAGGAAACACGGGCAGCCAGGCAGACTTGAGCAAGATCGAGGATGATAGCAATATTTAGACTGAACAATCCAACTCCGAGGGGCTTCGGCTCGTTGCGGACCAAATTATATGACGTAACCTTTCTGAAGATCTTGTTGCTCGTTCCGGCTGGCCGTTTTCCGCCTCGGTATCAGGATGGACATTCATCGCTGACGTCCTTGTACATCCTGGTCTCACAATGAATGCCTCGTAAGCAGCATTTCACAGCTCCCGGACCCGGCAGCCGCAGTAGCCTACTTGCAGGACGCCTCGCTCGAGTACATCAAGTCGGAGTTCGTTGGAGGCAGTGGAGAGCGCGGCCTTGCTTGTGAGTCGCTCAATGGCGTCTTTACAGATAGCGCAGGTCTTAACAGTTCGCCTTTTCACTTGCAGACTTGCGAAATAAGGTCGCCCAGGCACTCTCACTGCTACTGGTACAAAGCTACGGCTTGCCACCGCCTTATACACTGTTGTCGACTCTGTTGGATCTAACGAGAACATCAGAAGGCAGTCTCAATCCTACCAGTGCTGATCTCGTGCTGAGGATCTTGCACGATCTCTCTCTCACACTTGGCTCGGACACGACTCTCCGCTCCGTGCGTTCTCGAGAGAGGCTCGTGCGAGATGCTGCTGTGAGGGACGAGATTCGCGAACACAATGCTTCAGCGATAGCGCAAGCCGTCTGGGAGATGTTGCAAGAGGCGTTGTCGAAGGTGCACACGCCTCAGTGGCCCGGTCGCACGGCTGAGGACCTCGCCGAGATGGCGACACGGGTCGTGGGCGACTACGTCTGTGAGTGTCGCGCAACCTTTGGCCAATTCAGACAAGCTTTGCGCCTCTAAACAAACGTCGCTCGTTTCCGCTCTCTAGCCTGGACGGACATTTCCCTGATGGTGACCGCTACGACCTTGCCAGTCCTCTTTGGTCTATTGCAGCACCCGATCACCGCGCTTAGGATCGCGGCCGCCGAGACGCTTCTAGAGGTAATAAGCAAAGGCATGAAACCCCCCGACAAGATTGAGCTCGTGAGAGTCCTGGACCTGACCACCGTCATAACCGGCCTGGAGGCCTCGACTCGAGGCGACAGTGATGTAGAGTTCCGCGAACGTCTGGCTCGTCTTGCAAATGGCAACAGTCTGGAGCTCGGAAGAATTGTCGATGATCCGGCAGCGGACGCAGCGTCCTCACGAGCCGCCGACGAACTTCTGGCTCCTTCTCTGCCACTCACGCTTGCATTCCTCGCCGATGCCTGCGACGACATCCCGGAGCAGGTTCTGCCTGCCTTGACTCACGTCCTGGCGAGTGTGAGTGATGTCGCCTGCGCTACGCACGTTACATGTACTCAACATGTCGCTGATGTGATTCGCGCCTGTCCGCAGTGGAAGAAAATGCGGCGTGCCTCGCAGGCGACGCCTCTGCAGGAGGTCTTGTCACCCGCAAAAATCGCTTTTACCGAGTCTCTCCTAAGCGTTTGCTTGCAGAGGATGCAATTCGGAGAAGAGGCGGATTGGTCTTCGGAGCTCGAAGCGCGAGGAAGCGAGGATGGCAGCGAAGACGACGAGGCAGCTCGTTTTCACAATTTGCGGAAGGTGGGTCCACATGTATGCCCATTTCATCTGCGAACACAGCTGACCCCATGACAATTCAACCTATCGCCAGAATATGCAACTTCTGATAGGCACTGTGGCTGGCATCGATGAGGCCCTATTCTCGCCGCAAATTCAGTCATTCGTTATCGAGACGCTTACAGCTTGCAACGCCAGCTTGACCGGTACAGGAGCAGCCACGACTTGGCAGAGAGCAGAGCTAGCACTGCATGTGCTGTATCTCTATGCCGAGTTCTTGATGACCGCATCTGGACAGATCAAAAGTGGCATTGGATCTGCATCTTTCGTGACACTACCCACCACTGGAGCTAATGCCGGCTTGTCTCGGGCAAAGCAAGCCTCGCAGCTCGACCTCCCTACGTTGCCACTGAACGCTTTGGGCCAGACAGTCAAAGCCTTCTTCGAGTCACGGATTTCAGAGCTCGATCACCAAGCTGTCAAGCTCGCCTTTTTCGAGTGTGCTGTGCGCTACGCCTCCTTCTGCACCATCAGCTCGGCAGCTATCCCACAAGCTTTGCCTACTTTTCTGGACGAGCGAGGGCTGAGAAATCCCGACACTGCTGTGAGAAGGCGTGTCGAGTACCTCTTTTTGCGCTTCATCAACGTCAGCAAAATGGCTCTTAGCCATGAGCACGTCGCCGGCTTACTCGAAAGGATGCAGGATCTCCTGGTAGTGAGCGCAGTTCTGCCCCCTGTGAAGCCTGACGAAGACGTGTTGGCGAAGGGAGTCACCTCAGATACCGCTTTCGACAGTCAGCTGAACCTTTTCGAAGCGAGCAGCGTGCTCCTGTCGCTTCTTTTACGGGCGCCCGAGCAGCAAGTCTCTCTCCTGAGGTCCCTTGCTGGACCGCTGCGTTCGCAGCTCGAGGAAGCACTGCAAGCTCACAAAAGCCATCAGCATCCTCAAGTCATTCTTCAGGTGCACCATCTCTTCCTCGCGAGCAGCAATCTCGTCAAGGGGTTCCCAGATGTCCAGCCCGCAGCAGACGGCTCGACGCAGAGGGAGTATCGATGGATCGAAATCTTCAAAGGCATCACGGAGCAAATCCTTTCCGGCTTGAATGAGCTGAAAGGCTTTCTCATCATTCGCGACGCAGCAAGAGGCGCATTCGCGCGTATGATTGCAAAGTGTGGAGATGCCGTTCTACCCTACGTCCCGCCTCTTCTTGCCGCCCTTCTGAGCGAAGTGAGCGCAGTGGAGATGGTCGATATCCTCTCCTTTGTCGGTCTTCTGGGTTCTCGGTACAAAGCCACGATCGCGCCTATCATGGATGAGCTATTGCCAGTCCTGATTCCGCGTGTATTCGCTTTGCTCAACCAGGACGTATCAGGCACGGATGATGCTGTTCAGCGTTCAGAGCTTTCTCGTGCGTACGTCGGTCTACTATCGGGTCTTATCAGCTGCGGCATCCAGAACGTACTGCATTCCGAGAAGAACCAATCGCAATTCCAAACGGTCTTGCAAAGTCTGGTCTTCTACGCCAGCGACGCAGATCTCCAAACCCAGCGTGCAGCTTTCTCCGTTCTACACCGCATGGTGCAAGTATGGGGTCGCCCAGCAAGCGCCAACGGATCCACCAATGGACCGGCTGCAATTGAACTTCCGGGCTTTGTCAACTTTGTGTACGAGACTCTCGTTCCCTTGGTATTCGAGGCGCCATCGAAGAGCGCCTTTGATTTCGCCGACGCTCAAAGTCAGCTGGTGTTGACAGAGGTCTGCACACTGCTCAAGACGATCCACGACGTGCGAGGCCAAGAGCTCCTCAACTTCTTGACAACGGCTTACTTTCCGGGCATCGGCTGCCCTCCACAATTGGCGCAAGACTTCACCAACAACCTCAAAAAGATGGATGCCAAGCAATTGCGGAAAGCTCTTCAAGGTCTAATACTGCAATCCCGAGGCTAGATGCTCACCATATCCATTGCCCAATCCCCCAAAAGCGAGACCCGCGTAGGGCATCCTTTGTATAGCAAATTAATACCTGCAGCGGCTCCTCACAAGGCCTTTTGCTGACTCGACGGGACATCCTCGCATCTGGAGGATCCCATCCGCTTGTCTCTCAACTACTACTGTTCACACATTCGACCCCGCCTCGCCCTTCTTGCATACAAACGTGTCACGACATGCATCCCTTTTCTCGCGCACACCCCTCTAAAGCCAAGTGCCTTGAAGTAATTCCCTCTCGTCAGGTCGAACTTCATGGCGGTATTTCATCTCGAGACTGCTGATCTGTTACTCGTTCATAGCTTGTGCGAAGGACATGACGGATGCGCTCTCGTGTCACGCAGTCACAGAGGCGGTCGGTCACCATCATTGGCCGAGTCCTGCTATGCTGCAAAGAGGCGCGCTAAGTTGCGACGCAAGCCACTCAAACTCAAAACCTGGGCGTTGATTCACGCGCCTGCTGGCACGCCGCGCACCGCATATATATGTATGGGCACGCGGAAGCACGCGACTCGAAATGTGAATGACTGCAGCATCAGCATCAGATGGCAAGTGACTCACGACTGTGATGACTGCGTGACCGTGACCGCACCGTTGTAGACTTGCGTGGCGCCTGCTGACTGTGATGATTCGGCGCAAGAGATGCATGACGCATGCAAGAGCTATATATAGTAGCTGCAGAAAAGACCCTGCCTGATACTATCACTCACACTGTATCAGGCCTGGGCTTTTGTGGAGAAGGTAGGAGGAGGCTATGCATGATATGGCCGCCAAGCGAGCTATTCAAGCACTCATCATTTGCCGAGGAGGGTGGTGGTCGTGTGCACTTGACTAGCAGCTGTAATACCGCCCGTCATTGTGAAGCTGCCGCGCTCGCGAAAAGGAAGAAAGGGTCTGCTTTATTCTGCTATAGAGCTGACGGTGTGGAGGCTCTTCACGCACGGGCGAGCGCATGTCCGAGTCCGGCACGAGGTGACTGGAAAGCATGCATCTGGAAAACCGACTGAGAAGGACCGCATCGTTCCCCTCAGTCGCACTGAGTGACTATTTGCTTTCCAACGCCGCACAACTTTGCTTTGAGCAGTTCTCAGCAGCGATCAGACAACATACACATTCATCAGTCGTCTTGCTTCTCGGCAGTGACTTGTAAAGAACAGCAAACACCTTCCTTCATCCGGACGCGCATGCGCACCTCGACCGCTTATCAAGCCGACGAAACCATGCGGCCCTGACTGTGCATAGCAACCCTCTACAGTCATAAATCGTCGCGCATATCAATCGGCGCAGCGAGATACCTTGGCCGCGATCCCGACCCTCCTTGAGCATCCATCACCGATTGAAGGCGCTTGACTTTGGACCAACTTCCATCCTTGCATGCGAGGGCGGACTCGAAACGTGCACTGCGGCTGATCACTCTGCGAATCGGAACATTGGCAAACACCGGTGTACAGTCGAGTCGAACAGTGCACAAAGAACGTGACTCACAAGGCTACCTGCTTTGAAGGCGCTGGAAGGGTGAGGCCGTTGGGTGCGCGTGAGACTCAGCAAAAGCGCACTAGATCGCATATCCAGTGTTCTCGTGCGTACACTACGTACATGTCCATCCGGACCCATCTTGCCGCGAGCCCCTCGAACGACCTCCGCGGTCGCTTATAGCGTGGATACTACCCTCTCGGTCCGGACCCCAGGTGGTCAATACGCCGCCTCGCTTACCTTTCGCTAGATTGTTCACCTCTTCATTTAACAATCTATCAGCGGTCTCATCTCCTCTACACGTCCTGCTTCAATCTGCCCATCTTGCTTTCGACTTCCTTTCCCTCACCAGCCACCATGTCGGTCAGGAGCAAGCCACGACACTACGATTGGGCGATTTCTGCCTCTAGAAGATCTCACTCGGCAATATCTTCTCCTTTGGCAAATCTGCGAAGCAGAACGGTCAATTTGCTAGATAGCATCACTGGAGGTGCCGCGGATGAACAGGAGGAAGCCTTGGCTAGGAGGAGGGCCGACGAGATCAAAGCTTTTACGTGCAGAGGTTGTGGTATTCCTTATGCCGGAGCTGAAGCTCTCTCTGCGGTGAGTCGATCTGAGTGGAGCCTCGATTTGTGGGATTTAGGTTCCGTGCGGAGTAGGCTGTATGCGTCTCGCAAGGCGAGAATAGGGGCAAAGCGGCAAATGCATACTAAGGATTACTCATCGAATAGCTCACTTTGACCCTCTTCTCCCCTCCGTGCACCTTAGCATCTGACTTTGTTTCCGGTATGTCGAGGGTCGCATCGCGAGCTCTTCGGCATCTCGCTCACTCTTGCCCCTCTTTGCGCACGACAGGACCACACCAAGACAGATGGCAAGGCGTTTCAACGCATGCCAAGTCGAACACGCTCTGTGCCACTCATTGCAGCCAATGAACTCCGAGGACTGGTGGAGGTTGGTTCACCTACTCGACTAGAGGATCCATCTGCCGCGACCGTCCTGCCAGCTTCGCCAACTTCGGCTGGTTTCAACCATCGAAGCCTGCATTTTGACGATTCAAGCGTGAATCAATTGGGGTCGCCTACAACACCGCATTCACCACCTAGCAGTGCAGCGCCGATTCTTGGCCTTGGACCAGAAGAAAGCAGAGCTACTGTTGCTGGGAAGGCGAGCGCCTCAAAATACGCGCCACTTGGTAGTCCGACCAAGCCGAGAGTCGACAGCTCGAGCGCCAGCAAGAGTGGGGAAGCTATAGAGGATTCCAAGGCGCGCGTCGCAAGGCAGAGGGGAGGTAGCGAAAGTTCTGCTGGCGTGATGTTCGCGAGCAGGAACAAGGACACTGCACCTCTGAGGTCGCACAGTCTTTTTGGAGAGGAAGATGAAGAGGATGTGGACAAGGCAAGCGGAGCCAGGCCTGCGTCCGGCTCTCCGAAACGCAGTCCTTTCAGCCGGTACCGTGCTTTGCCAGGTACCGACAAGGACCGAAATGCCACTCTAGCCAAGAGCGATCCTTCTTCATCGCCTTCCGACTCGCCGCCAATCCCCGCTCGAGGGTTTAGCGAGTCATCAGCAAGCAAGCGACCCCAGACTTTGCGCAACCTTTCTTCCTGGCGAACCTTTGGTAGCAAGAACGTCAAAGCGGTGGCCGAGACGTCTGGCGACCTACGAACGTCATACAAGGGCGCGCAGCGAGACGTCAAAGACCTAGAAATCCTGCATGATAAGTCACCCTTTGAAGATGAGAATCTAACCTCGGTCACGTCGAGTGTTAGACCAGGGCCAGAGCTTGAGCGCCAAACGAGCTCAAATTCAGGCTCTGGAAGACCACCTCCACCTCCAGTGCCTAACCGTGATCAAGTCAAGTCTCGTCCAGCACCACCGCCTCCTCCACCTCTACCTCCAGCGCCTCGGCGCAGGAGCACCAACCCTTTCCTGCGCGAGGATGCTCTCGCTCAGCTTCAGCTACGAGACGAGAACGTGGCAGCGGTAGATTCCCCAGATGAAGGTGACATCGAGCGCCCCTTCGTATCGTCCCGTTCGAGAAATGCGAGCGAGAGCAGCGAGGGCTATGTTCCCAAATCTCCAAGCAATCCTTTTGCAAGGTCTCGCCAACACTCTTCCATGAACGGCCAGTGAAAAGCTCCCTTTGTCTCTCGTGGCAGAGTCTTGATCATCTTCTCGAAGCGTGCGCACACGTCACCTTATCGACCCGCACGTTGGGAGCATACGTACAGCGGTCTTCCTCGGAGATCCGTCGACTGAAATACAGAGGTCCATCAACTCAGGCACACCTACGAAAGCCTTGAAAGATGTACTCCAAGTGAAATTTGTCTCTGACACAGGTTCCACCTTGCACTTCTATTCCATCGTGCGCCATTACTAGCAGACGAACGCCGCAACTCTGTATCCTTGCTCGCCCCGCCTCTCAGTCTCCCACTGATCTCCGAAGTGACTAGCAGAGGTCTTCTTTATTTGGGCAGAAATGTCGTAATCTACACCTTCAGAGCGTGTGCAATCAGGTTGAGGGGAGAACGATGGAACGAATCGCAAGAGATGGTTCGAATGAGGTGTGTAGGTGAGCATGCGAGCGCAGACGGAGTGCCATGCTGCGCGAGCTGCCTAGACCTTTGTGCTCAAATTGGACCTGTTCATGGTGGCGATCTTGTGAGCCTCCTCCTTCTTGGCCAGCACGTTGCTGGTGCCGTCGAGCACGGCGCAGACCTCGAGTGCCAATCTAGCCGACAGATCCCTGTCGTTTCTCTTTTCGCTAGCATTGATGATGCCCTGGATAGCCCTTCTCTGTCCTTGCCTCTCGTTCAAAGCGATGGGAACTTGAAGCGTCCTTGCGCCTTGCCTTTGACTCTGCATGCGCGTCAGGGGAGAGGCTTGTTGGATCGCACGACTCAGCGCGACCACTGGATTGGTGCGCGTCATCTGCGAAAGCAACTCCAACATCTTGTGCACTTGACGCGATGCGCGCTGCTTCTTGCCATCCTTCATCAGGATATTGATGAAGCGTTCCAAGATGGGATCTACCCTGAACGGTAGGCTGTCCTTTGTGTATCCAAATTGAGCAGGTTCAGAATCGAAGAATTGGGCAGGAGCGGTGGTGGGCATGCCCGGTAGTTGTACCGCCTCTTGCGCGGCTGTGGAAGATGATGCGGGCGGCTTTGCGCTGGATGGACCACCGGAAGATGATGCGCCTGGACGCTTCCGTGCCGAGATCCTACCACCTGGAAATAGAGGTTTGACGTCGTCCGACTGAGACGAGTCTTGGTCAAACAGAGACCGATGCTCCTCGGCTCGTCGACTGCAACTCGAAAAGGATGCCGAGGCTCCCCGGACGGATGACCCAATGGTAAGGGCCCCGGAGCGCGTAGAAGTGTTTCGCGATAAGAATGCTAGGCAATGTGGCCTCATGTCGGACAGCGGCGGCTTTGCGCAAGACTGACAAAGGACGAAGAATGGAAGCTTTTGAGCAACAGACGCAGAATTGTGAGGCTCCTGTGTCGGAATGTCGCTCACGCTGCGAAGTCGAGAACGCGAATGGTTTAGCTAAAATGGTTTGGCCTTCCCTGCAATGCAGCGTCGCGCGCGGGGCTGCCTGAGACAAGAGCTGCGATCGTCGATGAGATGAGAGCCTCGGCACAAGTCTTGAGTAGCGTGAATACTGCGTCGAGCGTCGGTTCGGTGTGAATAGCAAATAGAAAGGTGAGATGTGTGAGGATAGAACATGTGATCACCTCGCGCCTGCACAGAAGAGTCTTCCCTTCGCGTGCAAGCTGCGAGAAGAAGCGGTAGAGACGAGTCACGTGCGTCTAAAATTTGGGCGCTGTCCGCGTCCTCGTGCAGCTCATTAAGCCGTGGAATTCGAATCACGAATCTTGCAGGACCTCTCCTTTGGCCGAATGGGCCGATCATTTCCTCACAAGATACCTCATCCTCCATACTAGGCGCGCACACATCAGCAACGTGTGCAGACACACAGTCCGAGCCTGCTCCTCGAGCATCAGATCTGGACATTTTCTGCTGCGACGCATTCTCCTGGGTCAACATGGAAGCACCTCTGCAAGCATTCACGGAGTCTGGTCTGGCGTCGAGCAGGTCTCGCAGCTCTGGCGGCAGTTCAAAGTATCGCGGCGGCAAATCCAAATTTTCAAACGTCTCTGACCGATTGAACGCTCTAGGCGCTTCTGCTCCTCCCGCTCGCAAAAAGCGCAAAGAAGGCAGATCCTCCAACAACGTTGCCTTTGACGAAGCGAGCAGGCACGAGTACCTCACTGGATTTCGGAAGAGGAAACAGGAGAGAATCGAAAAGGCCAGAGCCAATGCGCTGAAGAGAGCTAAAGAGGAAGCAAAAGCGGCTAAAAAAGAGGCTAAAGAGGCAAAGAAGAACAAGGCAAAGGAAAATGTAAAGTTGGAAAGGTTGGCTTTGGGCTTGGGGTCTGAAGAGGAGGAGGAGGAAGATGATGAGGAAGATGAAGGGGAAGTCGAGAAGGAGAGACCGATCGAGGGTGAGTTGAATTGGGCAAGAGTGGAGCTCTATGCGTGACAGTCTCCTCAGCGCAGCCTCGATTTGTACTGCTCAGTCTCTACCTACGAAACACCGGGTCATCAAACTTCAGTCACGGTGTCAGAGTGGGATCCGACAGCTGATCCGGCAGAAGAAGAACTGAGACTCGCTCGGGCTAGTCAAGCAGTATCCACCTCTTTGGCGCCGGCAAACCTCTCCGCTTCAAAGCTGCGTACGGTAGACGAGCTCCCAGCCAGTTCGCGTCGGCTAGCCAAAAAGTCGCAGTCTCTGCTCAAGAAGCAGGAAGCTGCTCGATCGCGCAGCGGCTCGGCTCGACGGGGCAATGGCAAGAAGGGCACCTTGACTGCTCAAGAAGCAGCAGCAGCTTCCATCTCTGCATTGGTAGATGAGAGCCCTCATCAGAATGCTGAAGAGACTTCTTTTACCGATCCGATACTGGGCGGAGGAGGGTCCAAGCCGTTCTTGGCTGGTAAGCATAGGGCCCAGCAATCCTATAGTACTGCAGCGGATCGCAAAGCTCAGAATGAGAAGTTGAAAGAGAGAAGAAAGAGACACATGGAAGAGAGAAAGGAGAAGGAAAAGAGGATACTGCAGAATGGGGGCAGAGCGGCTATTGCATTGAGAAAGAGAGGAACAGGAAAGATGGGCAAGGGTGGGAAAGGCAAGGATTTGAGGAAGAAGAAAACGCTAAAGGATTGAGAAGGGAAGAGTCCAATCGATTCTTTGTACACTACTGCTCTGTCAGGCATTGCACGCTGAGGTGCCGGCATTGGCCCTCTTATCGTCAAAGCTTGCTTCAAGTGATTGATAAGATCATCATCGTATGTTTGCGGGCTGAGAAGAGCCTAATCTGGTCGGGTAAAAGCTGGGGTATGATACACAGATATGTGGTTGAACAAGTTGCCATGTGGTACGACAACAGAGATCGTGAAAGGCGTACACATGGACGTCGAAAGAAACTTGGGGGCAGTCATATGTCTAGAATGAGGCCAGGTGTTGGAGTGGTACGGAGATTTGCAATGACGGGAGCTTTTGTAGAATGCTTCCTCACATCCTTTGCCCTCCATGGTACAACCCAATATCACTGCTCAAGGCGTCTCTTGGTGCCCATGGATCCACTGCGGAGGCGACCTTCTGTGGTGCTCTGGACGTACAATGCTTGAGGCTGCACGCGGCATGTGGAGAGCCATCGGTAAGTGGCCGGTGCAGCGCGGTTCAAGCACAGCTGCTTACCAAGTAATTGAGACCCGTGCTGTTCGTCGTATAGCGTCTCTTCTTGGTGGTCGAGACAGCGTCCATTCCGATGCCCTCTACATCTACGACCGGTGCAGTCTGGTGGGTTTCGGTACGCGATCGCTTATGTTGTCGAAGCGCGTTCGATGGAGATTGTGCGGAGACCGACCATAGCGCATTGTCGGTTTGAATCGTGGAGAGGAGTGAGCTACCGCTCGTGAGCGGTGAGACGTTCGATGTTGCAGAAGCAACTGCTACGTCGCTGGACGTTGTCGAGGTTGTGGGGTCACTGGGCGCCTTGCCAAACTGGTACAGCTTGTGCCAGCCCAGAGCGAGACTGTCCATGAAATCTTTAGATACGCTGGACTCGCCGGTGAGGAGCAGAGGCGCGTTCCCGGTCTTGTGATGGCTGACACCGAGCTGCTGCGCCTGCATCGTCCAAGAACAAAAGGGCAGAATGTGCCTGCTCAGCTCTGGCCAACGATTCGCAAGACCGAATCTTAGTACTAACCATGGTCAGCCCTGGCGCAGGTACAAACGTCGAGGCGGGGTTGCGGCTCGCGATCAAGATTCTCTGCTCACGTCGACGCGTGCGATCGAGATCACGTTGCAGAGCTGCAATCAGCAAGCGATCGTGATCAAAGGCACTCCATTTGAAAATCCTTTGCTGTTTGATGGACTGCAGAGCACCCACGCTGGAAAGACGCCATGGCCTGTTCAGTATAGTCTGGCGAAGACGTCCGCAAATTGTAAGCTCACAAAGATAGTGCTCGTAAGAGCGCGGTGCCCGCTCCCAGCTGACACCAGTCTTGACCTTCACGAGTGGTGCGGAGATCGCTGTAGACACCTGATAAAGATGGCTCAACGAACTAAGCTCAATCCGGGAAGTTTGTTCACAGTCTTCGAAGCTCACCTCTGTGCGAGCGAAGATTCCGTAAGATGGAGGCCACGGTAAGAGAGTGAAAGAGCACTTCTACTCGGTCGAACTCACTCGCTAAGCTTGTTGAGGTTGAGAATATCATAGCCGACGACTCGAAGTCTGAACACCAGGATGCGGATGATGACGCACGCAGTGATCCAAATGTCTCCCCGCCAGCTGAAAGCGACCACCGGACTTTGGGAAACTTTTGGCTTGTGCTTGCGCTGTTCGACGTTTGTCGCGGCTGGAGGGTCATACACTGGCAACATGAAACGATGAATCGAAATGGAGCTCAAGATGCTGGAAACTTCACCGAGGTGATCTGAGCCATCTTGCAAAGACTGATGCCAGATGAAGTCGGGGTCAGTGACGGTCTCTAGTCTGCGCAAGTCATTCGCTTCGATGGGCTGGGTGAGGTAATTTGACCGCGAGTAGGCAATCAGATCGAGCGGATCCAGGAGAGACATGCCAGGTGCTAGTATGCCCGCAGACACTGCCGTCGGAGACTGCAAGGCCATAGGTGCTGTGCTGATGAAGTGTTTCAATTGTCGATGGAGAGCAACATGTTGCAGCTCAGGGTCTGCAGGTCCAGCATATTGCTGCGCATAACTATCTGCCAGCGAGATCGCAGGCTCTTCTATCTCCAGGCTGGCCTCAATTTGGCTCGATTCGGGCTGAGCATAACCATTGTGACTCAATTCGCTTGGGAAAAGTTCTTGAAGTGGGTCGACGGCACCTGCATGTGGCCCAGGTCGGTCAGCCGTGTGTCAAAGTAGTCCGCCTTCTTGTCCTGAAGAGACAGTACACCTAGACACTCACCAATGTCGATGTGGGCTGCAGACCAATCGATGGAGCGTCGAGCCTGAGAGAGCAATGGCCTAAAGTGATCTCCTTCGCTCTTGCAAGATGTCACTCTCGGCTCGATCGGACTTCTCGTGTGCAAGTTGGAGCTCTCTGAAGACGACTCGGAAGGCGAGCGCAAGTTCAGGTCAACATCTTGTCCCATGGAATCGGTAGAAAGGGCATCGTGGCTCCGGACCGAAAGTGTTTGGCTGACCGCATTGTTGATGTCGTCCGGCAGACTAAGTCGCAAAGGTGGTCTGGCTCGGCCAGGCCTTGCGACAGAAGCAGGCCATCCGAGCGAGCATTCCAACGGCACATCTAGCGTCATCGCATGCTCATGCCCGTCCTGGCTGAGAGTGGGAAGCGAAGCCGCGCCGTGGGGAGTGTTGCTCTGCTTCTCGCTAACAGGAATGGAAAATGCCTCCGTCATATCTGAACAGTTGCTTCTGTCGAAGTTGGGCGGAGCTTCCATGATGGTTACTGGTAGCTCCAGCGGCTGACTGGACGATAGAGCGTCGCATGTCGTGGCCATGCCAGTGTCCAGCCAAGGCTGCGGGATGGGAGATGGCGCAGTCGGTGTGGCCCCCGGAATGTACAAAGATCTGTGTGAGTCGATCGACGGCGACGTAGCCTGTGAGAGTGGGCTGTGTGAGTCAGCGCTGCGAAACGTTCGCAATCGCGCAGAGACTCACCAATCTGCCATGCGATAGTACAGGGCTTAGAAAAGCTATCGTCGCTGCTGAAATGGTACTTGAACGGCGGCGAGCAGGGCCTACATCCAGGATTGGTGCGAAATTTGAGGATGGCGACAGCGGACGGTGTGCAGAGGGGGCTTCAGTCGCACTCGGCAACGGTGTCGTCATCCACCCTGACAAAGCATCGAGACCTCTATCAGCAGCAGAACCCTGCAGTGCAGTGGCGTCGCTGGCTGCCGCAAGTGTGATGCCAGATGACTGAATTGTAGGTCCTTGGCCCGGCTGAAATCTCGTCTGTTCTTGTGCATGGCTATGCTGATACGGTCGCTGGTCCAGGTACGGCACTTCACCATTCGCTTGGGCCTGAGCCAAAGCAGCGTACGCGCCTTGTAGTGGTGGGCGAAGGTCGTAGATCGTAGAGCCTACTGAGCCGCTGTAGGTGAGACTGCGTGCGCGCGACGGTCTCACAGGAAACACCGAGCATTGGTGTCCCATCGTGGTACGATGGCATTCCAGTGCAAGTGCGTATCTCAAAGCCTCGCTCGAAGCCAAAGACTCATTCCACGGACGTGGTTCACCGGCCGAATCTAGATCATGGATAAGACGCCAGGTCGAGTTGTCTGCCACGGACACTTGAATTTTTGGTACTTGCCCTACCACAGCTGGAGTGGGCGGCGACATTGAGGAGCTTGAGGTCGCTGCATGGTCATCAACTAGATTTGTAAGGACGAGAATGACCCTACCTTTGATTTTAGGCCATCATTGAAGACCTCACTCACTTGTGTGATTCGAGGCTGAACCCGAAGCCTGATGCGAGACGAGAAAGCTGGGGTCGAAGGCAGCATTGGACCTGAATGTTGGCTCATACGAGTTTGGAGTTGACTCAGGACTGCTTGCAGCTCGCAGGTCGACATATTGAGAGAAGTCGAAGCTCACTGTTGGAGGGATGCGCAACCTGAGGTTAGCTCGGACACTTTGCAGACATTGCAATCTAATAGAGAGGAGGTACCATCTTTCGATACGCACGGCGTGTTGCTGCCTTAGATGGTGTTGCGAGATAGCCATCTTGACAGCGAAAGGACACTTGGTCTTCAGGAGAAAGTAGAGGTCTGGGATCCAGCGACAGCTTGTCAAGTCGAAGCTCTTCTGACTCTTGGTGCCACGACATGTCGGCTAATCTAGCTCTGATTGCACGCGTGCCTCTTGTAGTATCAAATCTGCAGGGATGCAGACTTGGCAGGTTCAAGCGTAAATACGAAGGGCAATCTTCAGACACGGCTTTGACTCTTCCCAGACTCAGCTCTGCTGAAATGTTCAGCGCAGTAACTTACTATTGGAGACTGAATGCCACAGTTCTTGCGCTGGTAGACGATGTTCGTCATATGACCGGTAGTACTCCTCTGCTACTAATCACAGACAATCGCTAATGTCAAGGCTCCATCTACACGACGCGAGGTGCTCTTTCTCTTGTTGCCGCAGCCTGGTCCGCAAGTCCCGCTGTACTCGCGATTGCGCGTCGGGGACCAAGCTCTCGCGGCTAATTTGTTGAAGGCTGCAGTGACCAGCGGGAGTGGTGACCACTCGAAGAGCTCACGGCCCCCGCCTTGCAGACGCCAAGATTTCAGCCGATCTTTGATCTACCTAAGACTTCAGGACTTGATTCGTTGCTTGTCTTCAGGTTGGGTCACCTGTCGCTGCAGTAAGTAGCACCGTGGTGGACTTCTCAGTGCCAATCGCAGGTCGAATGATTTAAGCTGAGCAGACAGTCAGCTTGTCCGATCCAGCAGGATGCTGGTGGCCCAGAGACCCAAGTAGAGTAGTAGAAGCGTGGCTTGGGGGTGTGGGCAATTGTCTGGACTACGCTGGTGGGGGGCTCTTGTAGGATACTTGAGGAAGGAAGAGCTGCTGCTGCGCACTCGTCTGTCGAAGCAAGTCCACGCCCAGCTAGGCCCTTGAAAGTGATTTCTCCGAGCCCGAAGTCCGTCATGCAACCTTACGCATGCGACGCCACGATATGCTTTGGCAGACTCACGACTCTAGCCTTGACTGGGCAATGCGTGGCAGAGAAGTGGGGAGCTGGTCAATCCTGGTCAAGTAGCAGCTAGGCGATACCGAGCCTCAAGCAGGCGACGACTACACGTGTGGGGCGGGGATTTCTGCAATCTTGCAGAGAGCAAGGCGGCAGTTGAAGTTGGGCGGTCACAGGATGCGGCCTTGGCGCTGACAGAAATTGCTTTCACGTCTGCTCACAATCAGCTAGATACGTACGTCTAGTCACGAGTCTGTGAGTGTCCGATAAGGCAAAGAGGAGTTGGACTCCTGACCTCATTCCTGACTCGTATCTAAATGGGCTATGACTTCGACTGCTGGTATGCTGAAGACTTTCTTTCCCGGCGTTTGTCCTTCAAATGTCATCGTTGCTGCTGATGACATGTGTGGCGGGCGGTGCAAGTGATCTGGGTCCGTGCGTGCAGTAGCAATATATTGTGGGGAACAGCTGCGCAGCAGCAGCAAGGCAACGTAATTGCATGGGCGATGCACCCGCGCCAGCAAGCCAGCTACGACGAAGTCCAAGCCGGGTCTCAGACAAATAAGCCACGCCAACAGCACGGCTCACCTAGTTTCTTGTTACTCGGCTGATGGATGCACTTTCTGCCACATTTCGTGTTGAATCGTGAATTAAGTAGCTCAAAGTGCCCTTGCTGGGATTCGGTCACCATCGAGGTGCATGTGCTGTGTCAATCGTCATCGAGCGGTTCACACTCGTGGCTTCTCGACTCAGAATTCAGCTTGTCTCCTAGCTCTCGATCGAACCCGGGGCTGGTAGGTGCTGAATGTGATCTCTTCGAAAGCGGGACGACACCAATCATGATCTGAGACGAATTGATACAATCTGGATGCCAATAGTCTGAGTGGAGCTGCTTCGCTCTTTCTTGATTGCGCTGTTGTTGCATGAGTCGTGTCGTCGTACAGCGCAGCAGCAGCCTTTGGGCATCCAAGCAGGATCAAGAATGTGTATGCCGCTGACAAATATCAGCACTGCGTGCTTGATGTGAAGAAAGCTTAATTGTGGGCTGCCTGAGTTGATTGTGGACAAAAGAGACTTTCGCCAATTTCTTCCCGCGTGGCGGCATCGCCTATCAGCAAAGTCAAACCGCCATGGAGACTTAATGACTGTCCAATTTAGGATTAGCTATATCGTGATCGACCAGACCTTCCTCCCGAACCGGCAATCCAAAGACAGCGGCTGGGTGTTGTCCGTATGATGCTGTTCAAGTTGTCTATGCTGCTGATGTTACCGCAAATTTTTTTGGTACCGTAACGTCTCGGCCTACTCGTGACTTGTTCGTGACTCTTAACCTCATCCTGTGTGTGCGCGACTCTGACTGCGCGAGGCTTTGCGCAGTCATCCTTGATGTAGCCCTTATCAAGCCTCCAAGGCTGCCTAGCTGAGTCCGAGTATACTGACGGCATTCGATGACGGCATTGTGGTGATGCACACCTGAAAAACGAATGTGGCTTAAGTGGAGCCGGAGTCGTCTCGAAGCTAGGTGAGTCCAGGGTAAGTGCAAATCACGGATCAAGTGAATGCACACGCTTTGAACGGCGTCGTGTCTTGTATGCCTGTCCTTCAGCCGCGTGCTCGACTTCTCTGATTGGACTAGCCATCAAAGCACGTTTATACCTACTGCTGTGCCTACAGCTGTATATGGATGATTGGGTGGCTTGCAGTTTCTGGCGCCCTTTCGTGTAGTCGTGTTCATATATACATGCAGCTTTGTTGCCGTTGATTGCGGACATGCTGACTTTATGCAGGCTTCGCTTGGCTTCTGCGCCTTGCTGTCACGAGCAACATGGTGATGGTCGAGCAGGGCGCACGCGCCAAGATAGCAGTCGTCGGGGAATTGCTTCAAACTTGCACTCAAGACTGTGGCCGCTGAGGACGTCCCTTCAGATAATATGAAATAAAGTAGCAAATAAGCAGCCTCAGAAGGCACGAGCGGGCGCCGCGCGGTCCGTCCTAGAGCACCGGCGGTGTTTCATGACTGCGTTCACGCAGCGAGACGACCATGCAGGCAACAGCAGTCATGATGACCCTCTTATGTTCCAGGAGCTTTTTGCTTCATGCTTGCCATGCACCAATCGGTGCCTTGGTGTGTCCGGTTCAGATTTGGACACCGCGCCCCCCTGCGACTTTAGTCTCCCTGAGAGGGTCTGCATGCCGGACCTTGTGTATGAACCTCTTGAATGGTGTATACTCGTGACTGCATGATGAGTGCGCTTCGATCCGATCGATTTGCTTCATGATCGGTCATGAACGCAGAGCAGATCTATTTTTGGATGACTACTTTACGGCGACTCTCTTCTGTTTGAGTGAGTCGTGATGTATATATATATAGCCACTTGAAATGATGACTTGAAATGATGTGCAGAGGTCGACTGTGCTGATCAACTCTCGCATGCCGTTGAGTCACGATAGTGTTGTATAGAGCCGCTTCAACTACCGTCAGGTGTCGAATAAGCGAGAGCAAGGTGTCGAATGAGCGAGAGCAAGACGCAGTCAGACCCCAACCCGGCTGAGAGTGCTGAGAGCCTGCAGGAAATCAGGCGTCGAGCGACACTCACATTCGTGATTTCTCCGAGCATCGAGTCATCAGAAATCACTTTGGAAAGATACGTGGCGACCGAAAAAGCTTGACGTTAGCGTGAGTCACCACGACCGCGCCGCGTGTACTTCAACTCAGCATGCCGGATTGTCGCGTGATTAGGTGTGGTCAAGTCCGAGGTATATACGTCATTAAGGACCAAATCGGATTTCCCGTCGAAGTCTTGAATCTTCTCGTTCTCATCACACAAGACTCGACCATCTGGAATCGTGGATCGTGCTGATGTGTGCGCCCTTGATGTCCGTGACAGTGAGTGAATAGGTCACTGACCTTGAAAACCTTCCCTATGCCCCATTTTAGTGAAGTCCCTGCTTGCCGATTGTAACTACAAATGCTGACTGCTGCATTCGTGGCTGTGGTCGCATATATGTGTGTTGTACTGATCTATAACGCATGTGTCCATGTCGCATGTGGCACGATGCCGTGGGAGGGTTGATGCCACCGTCTTCAGCTCGACAGCCGCGTGAGTCTTGCTAGAGTGGAACAAGGATTCGCATTTCATGATTCCATATGGTGACTCGGCGCACAAAATGGTCCGATTGTCAAGCGGGATAGTAGTTCGAAAAAGTCACCTTGCCGTCGAGAGTCAAATAAGTCGTAGGCACGGGCGGTAGACATTCCGATTGTATATGTAGGTGCTTGATTTGTCCATCCGTCAATCAAGACGGCGATCGAGTGGACATCCGACGCGAAGGCGACCTCCGACCGAATCTTTGCAGAAAGGTTGACGAGGATGATTTCAGCGGCAGTGTGATCGAGTAATCAAAATATATATATAATCACGAGCTCAGCAGTGATGACCGCGCGTCTGCGATGATCTAGGTGATGCGTATCAGAGCTGGTGCAGCGGTGACGGTGGTGCTCAAAGTGTGGAGTCAGGAGTCACGAGTGTACCGGTAAAAGCGCGCCGCCTTGTCTTGTCCATCTTACGCGGATGTGCGGCCCTATGTCCATGAGTCACGAGTACGTACCACCACGAGTGAGCTAAATTCGTGACCAGCGAGTGGATGGGGCAAGGCGTATGCAGCAAGTTTGAGTTCATGCGCTTGCCAGTCATCCGCACGTGATCTCGACCTCATCCCCTCTTCAACAAGGACACGACGACCTCGTTGATGCTCAAGCCTCAAGGATCTGGCCTCGCCAACGTTGCTCAGATTTGATCAATCGTCCGTGAAGAGCAGCGTAAAATGTGGGAGAAGGGGCAGAGAGCAATCACCGTGGCAAAAAGCAAAGAAAGACCGCATGAATTTCCCTTTGCCGCACGCATACCTGCCTCACTCATGAAAGAGGCGCTTCGAAGGCCGTCATCGCTTTGAGTGGCCCCCATCTTCATGCGCTGTGGACGTGCAGGGTAAAACAAGGACATACTCGTAGCTGACGGTGCTGCCAATACAACATGGAACATGGAATGTTCTCCCGGGCACAATGCCACTGCCTCCACCATAGTCACCTCATCCGATGGGGCATCTAACGGGGCAACTGTCTGATGCTGCGATGTCGGGTGAGCTTCGACGGTCGAGACACGTTATAATCAAGACGACCGAGTCCGCATGATGCTCTGCATAAATGAGAGACTGTTCGGCAAGCCCTCGCCGTCTCGAGGTGTGATGGCGAGCGTTCCTCAGAATGTGTGCCCCCCGATAAAACTCGTGATGGCTCTGCATAGTGACCGAGCAGAGCGTGATGACTGCATGTTGGATTACAGCTCACTTGCCCTTCTTCTTTTGTTGAGCAGCCTTCTCGGCCGCCGCACCATCCGCAGCGCTCTTCATGATGGTCAAGGGTCCGTTGGAAGCTCTGCCCGCCATTTCGCCTTCAATTCGCGTTGTGATGGACGCTTGTTGTTTCTAGAGATAGTGGCGTGGGGGTGTAAGTTGCCAGTGCGCATGCAAGTAGTGAAGTTGACGAGAATTACAGACACCGCTCCGTCGCACCCATCAGCAACGAATGCTTCAGGCCTCAATGCCTCGCTTAGACATCCCGCATACAGCCTTTCCCACAGTGACTCACTCTCAGGTTGTTTGCCTGCTTGACTGCCTTGGCCTTCTTGGGTGGCACCACCCTCTGACCGATCTTTGGACCCGCCGAAGATTTGCTCTTCCTTCCCGACCTGGACGCCTTGCTTGTCGAAGCGCTAGGCTTGCTGGCCTTGAATCCCTGTGCCATTGCCCAAAGGGTGAGCGAGGGCTCTTCAAGGTTTGGAGCTATGGTCTGAGGAGGATGGGCCCTTAGTGCGATGGTCCTTGTGGATTAGTAACAGACGGGCAGAGGTGTGATCCGATGGCTGGAAGACACGAAGACGCGTGCACGTTAGTCACGTATTCGAAGTTGCGGGCGCGTGGTGCAATCACTGCGCCCGCGAATCACGAATCTGAATGCTGGAAATCAAGAATTTGGTTGCAGCAAACTTCTTCCGCACGGGAACAGCTCAGTGCAAGTGCGCACAGCCAAATCTTTTGAAATCCGCCCCACCTGCTTCAAGCGTGTTTCGCAGGCAGAGCTATGGCGAACAACCAGGTAGCTCACTGCGTGGTGACTTGCAAGTCTCAACACCACTCACGATACTGGTACTGGTGCAGCTTCGAAAGGCACGCGATTCTATATCCTGGTCAAGCTGTCTGCCTTTTGCGACCTGTCCCACCTCTCAGCGACCACACGAGCTTGGCTGACCAAGATGGCTGTGCCTGACGTGGCCTCGACCTCACAGCTTCCCAAGGAGCAACATCGCAAACGAAAGCATTCCGAAGGCTCAGCCAAAGAAGGAAGAAAGAAGGAGAGGCGCAGCGACAAATCTAGCTCCAACACATCACACCGATCGCAAGCTGTACCAGATGGAGATATAAGAAAGGCAGGATACTTGAACAATGGAGAGAGTGTGCCCAAGGATCACGCCGTGGTGAATGTTGGAAAAGATGCGAGCCGGAAACTTGGACCTGTCTTAGGTAAGTAGGCAAACAAGCGCTGTCGATCATCCAACAAGACAATGCCGTTTGATGAGGCTGAACAACAAGTGATCTCCTACGAACAATAGCAATGTTCTCCGATTACGAACCTCCACCCTCGACGAGCTTCGCGATGTATGCAGCTGCTGCGCCCGATGATAACTCACCTTTAGGGACGACGCTGTCCAACAGACTGATGCTCACCGGAGAGACCGACACCATGTCGTATGTTGGAAACAATTGGATCTCTTCTGCTGCTGCTCCAGAGCATAGCGATGAGGATCGCTTGTCGGCGAGGGGCTACAGCGGCGAGTGAGTCTTGCGCTGTGGATCTGTCCTGCAAATTCTCTGCTCACGCCAAGCTCGCTTCTGAAGATTCTTGGTTGGCATATACGATCCTGCAACCTCCACAGTGACTCTGCGCGTAGCACCAGCTTTCGTCGTTCGGCGAAGGATCAAGGCACTAGCCGAACAGTCTCTAGCCATCTCTTCTGTGCTGGATGGAGACGGTGCGCAGGACTACGCGGCTCGCATGTTAGCGAGAAGAGATTTGGGCGAAGCTTTCGGAAACAGGAAGACGAAACTCAAAGCTAGAAATGATGACCGGATGAAGGTGAACACGGAGAACATGACCGATATCATGGCCACCATGCGGGAGGGCATTGAGACTAGCTCCAAACATATGGACAGCGCTGGTGAGTGTCCGAATCAGCGAGCCAAATTTTGCGTTTGACCAGTCTGACGTCTTGCGCTTCGCTATCTTGGTTCCCTCACGCAGATGCTGTGGAAGCAGCAGCTAAGGCCGCACAAGCCATACCTCCGCACAACGAGCAAGCAGAGAATCCTAGAGAGGCGTACGCTATTGGAGATTTGGTTCCTTCGAGCATACTCAAAGCTATCGACATCACAAATCTTTTGCTCGCTTCGTCTCCTGAGGCGGTCAAGCAAGGACTTCCGGTAGGCGGTCCTGCGAAGAGCAAATGGCTCGTCGGCAAAGCTTGGGAAGCGATTCAACAAGTGAACCACGGAAGCAGCGTCGCAGCGCCAGTTGGCATCCTAAAGACCTCGACGGGTGGATCAGTCAAGGACGACGGCAAGCTTCGCTTGACGCTTTGCTTATACGCAGCTATGCTCTGGAAGCTGTACGACGAAAAGATGAATGTGGGGCGACCCAATGATAGACAGAAGCTGCTTGAAAAGCTCAAGGTGGACGAGAACAAGCATGGTAGAATGATCTTTGCCCATCTGATGGATACTTTTGCCGAAAAGATGAGGAGCACGCATAGGTACAACGTCACTCCCTTCACGGAGACCAAATGCTTGGCTTACTTTGCTGCCATTACTCTGCACATCAACAACTTTTCGGTCGATGTCAAGGAGCTCGCTAAGGACATGGGCATCGAGAGCCGCAGGTGAGTCGCTCTTTCTTGCGCATAAGCTCTATTCGCACATGACTCATGGTGATGCTATTTGCTGTTCAGGCTTGGCGACGTGTACAAGTCCCTCGGTTGCACACCGTCCTCCGCATCTGTTCGGAGCTCGAGCGGCGAGAAGGCCATCAAGGAGTCGCGCCTAATCCTGAAGTGTCCCTTCACAATTCCCAAACCTCGTCGAGGGCCGGCCAAGCGCTAATCGCCACAAGACTGCATCATTTTTCGTCCTCATCTCTCCAATCTCATGCGTTGCTTGTGTATGTTTCGGGATGGTACAGAGCGGAAAGGGCCAAGTGCAGGCAAAAGAAGAGGGACCAATGGCTCAACACTCATACGAGCTGAGGGATGAGCGGCTTGAACACGACTTGCGCAACGTGATTCAAGTTCAAGTGCTGTCGCTGCCAGAGGTTCCCGAATGCACGTTGAACAGCAGGGAAAGAAATGGGCTTGGATTGTGCAATGAGTGGGTCGTAGTGACATGGACGTACAGGCTAGAGCGACTCGTCGTTGCGGTCGAGTGCAACTCTGCAAAAGAGCATGTGTGTAGCTCAAAGGCATACGCTTAGAAGCGCATGAGGTGGGGACGGTCTCCGTTGGAGAGACCAAAAGTGGAGGACAAGTACTTGCGCAATGCAGGTCCTTGAGATTTGATAGCCGCCAAAATAGCCTTGTCCACTGACTTTTGGTTGGAGACCTTGCTCTCCGAGATCTTTTGCTTGTTTGCGGGGTCGGTGAAGAAAGACGCCTCGGGCTTGGCGCCGGAGCTCTTCTCGCTCTTGAAGTACTTCTTCTCATCGAGGACGCTCTCGTCAAGCTGAATGCGAGAACCATCATTCCTAGGTCAGCACTCGCTCAATCCAATCAGCGGTTACCCCCCGGCGAGTTGTAGGCTCCCGCGGATGTGCTCCTCTCTCAACTTTCTGGGCTTGAGTTCGTACCCAAACGACCAAAATTGCTACAAATCTGTTCAACTCTCAATCTATTACGCCTCTGCTTGCCTCTTTCTTCCTTCGCATCTCGCCAAGTCCATTGCATTCGTTTCGGGCACTCACAGAAAGGTTGCCAATCTCGAGCTTGGTGCTGGTCGCAATGACGTATGCCTGGTTCACGCGACGCAGAGGAACGCCGTTGACCTTGAAGGGTCCAGTGACGAGGAGCAAACCAGAGGGCAATTGTCGCAGGAAGACGACCCTCTTTCCGCGGAAGCGTCCAGCGAGCAAGATGAGGACAGTTCCAGGAGTGATGCTGCTGCGCAGAACCGCAGGCTTGGGAGCCTTGCGGCTCTTTTTGGGCACTGCCACATCCTCGGCGGGATAGTAGCGGCTGGCTTTGTCGGATGGAACAGTGCGAGAACCTCCCTTCTTGAGCTGCTTAGTGACAGTCGTGGGCTTGTCCTCGCCGGTGGCTGCCGCCTTTGCGTTCCTGGGCTTGGGCTTGACGTCGGTGGGCTTCTTGTTCAGCAAGGGGTTCAGCTTGCTGCGCCTGCCAAATCCAGCTCGGGGCGTTGCCTGAGAAGCCATTGTGACTGTCAGAAGGCGAGAGTCATTTGGAGTCAGTAAAGGTGCGCGGAAATAAATGACTTCGATTCCCTAGTCAGCACCCTAAGACTCTTCAAGACTGATTGCTTTGCAACTCCTCGCACCCTTGCCGTCGTCATCCAGCGACACCCTGCTCGATCAGCGGCCGGGGCTAGGTGGCCCGACTCCACACAGTGCTGGACTGGCGCCTAGGTCCGAGCAGGTTTCGACGACTGGCAGATGATCCGCTCCATTGATGGATAGCTTTGAATCTCCTGCCAGTGACGATCCAGGTGCGACTACTCTCGATGCAGCCATCTCGCTCTCGCTAGCCCCGTTCCCTGCTTAGCGCTCAGACCATCTCCCAGCGTCCGCTCTTCCCAATTTGCATTCGGCACCAGCCTGTTCCCAAGAAGAGCTCGCGGAAGTCGAACGCAAGATACTAACCGATCCAATCTTGAGAAAAGGGGACAAGTGGGTTGTCGAAAGTGGTGATGAGGTGATCGTCTGTCGTGTACAGAAACCAATACGCCTCCTAGGGATTGACTACGGCACCACACACGCACTCTCTCCAGAAGTCCACAAGTCCACTGAGCGCTCGGCCGAACACGTGCGCATAGCTGCGGGGAGAATTTGCGCGCGCCGCGAAGGGATGCAGCTTGATCCCGATGCCCGCGCCTTAGGTTGTGAGGTGCCACGTGGCAATATATTTAGCTGCACAACTTAGACGCGCTGACCCTCCAGCGCAAAGCACCCCATTTGCTTCGGACACTGGTCCTTGGAGTGCAGCACCTCGTCTCTCATTGTGATTATTTGCGATGCGTCAGAATCAGCTGCGTCAAGTCTGCAGATGCTACGGATAGCTTGAAGTGTGGTTGCTCTGGCGTCATCTTGGTCTCGAAAGCGCTGGCAGTCAAGTGCATTCTCCTCGAGCTAGACCGGCCAGAGGCGCCTTTGAGACTGCGACTCTTGACTGAGAACAGACACCGAACCAGGATCATGCATGCGCCGCTTTCCCGGCCGAGAAAAGTCAAGCCAGGAATCCCTCAACACGCGGGGGGTCTAAAGCTTCAGCATCTCATCTGTGCTGCATTCCTCAGCTCGCTGTCTCACCAGGTGTTCAGACGCTGATTCATCGGTACACTGTCCCCTACCGCTGATCACGCCAGCGACAACGAACACGACTCAACAGACAGACGCTGTCGCTAGGTCAGGAATTTGACGGCATCTGGCAAGGACTGAGGATCCTCACCCTTCGAACGTGGAAAGCCGCAGCTCTTACCAACCCGCTGCGCGAGTCAGAATGTCAGCAGATCTCGTCTCAGTCCTGGACGGAGCGTTCTCAGAGCAGGTCAGTCGTTGGGCGCTTCTCACTGACGAGAATGACTGCGCTGACTGCTGCTCCTGCATCATACCTCTCAGGTGGCAGATGTTGCCACGTTCTTGGCTCGCAGCCAGCCTGAAGATGAGCGAGATGACTACATTTCCAAATATGTTCGGAAAGCAGAGGAGGCCGAAGGAGGCGAGGGAGGTGCGGATCAGGCAAAGACTTCGGCGGTGTTGACGGAGCTGCTGGGACAGTTCACCAAGCTAGGGGATGGAAACGATAGAGGTGAGCAGCAATCGTGAAGGGAGGTCCTGCGCGGCTGCGTGCTACTACTGATCAAGAGACACGCGCTCCTGTCCTACTTTCTTACACAAACCAGAGCTGGAGGGAGTGTACAACTTGCTCGTGGCGCTCATTAACACGCAGTATGCGTCTCAGGAACAGAGAGACCATGCCATTCAAAATTTGGTCTCGGTCGTTGCGAGCACTGCTGCGACGACGGGGCAAGAGAGGACCGCTGTAAAGTACCGGATGTGAGTCGTTAGGCAATGGGAACAATGTGGCCATCCGGAGCTGGGCGGAGCACTATCATCAGCTTGCGCCACAGCTTACCCTAGCAGACTTGAATCTGACACCGAAATCTTCTTTGAGCAGTCTGTCCAACACATTCAACTCGCTCTCAGCTAGCTCACCTCTTCGACTGACAACCCTCACTGCGCTGCTCAACCTCGCAGCAGCAAACGAAGAGCTGGACTACCTGTCCGAATCACTGCTTGCGACTCCAGCATGGCTTTCTACATGGTCTATTCCATCCTCTGCAAAGTCTGCGCTCCTCTTGGACATCGCTTCTAAGCTCGACGCGGCTGATCAAAAAGCCAAAGCCTACGAATTTCTCCTCACTCATCTGCGGTACTTGGACAGCGTCTCGGAGGCGAAAAAGGAGCAAGTTGCTCAGGCTGCGGAGCAGACAATCGCTGCAGCTCTGAGTCTGCCGAATGTGTGGGACTTTGACAATTTGCTGCAGATCGGCCCGATTCAAGCGCTAAAAGGACAGCCGGCATTTGAACTTTTGAGCATCTTTGTCAGCGGTTCATCAAAGGACTTCAAAGCGTGGTTGGGCAAGGGCAACGATTCTGTGCTATCTAGGCTGAGTGAGTGCTGCGAAAGGGCTTTAAATTCGCTCTTGAAGGCCGAGCTGATGCGTGTCACTCTTGCACACACCACCAGATCTGAATGCTGCGTTGCTGGAGAGGCAAATGAAGTTGCTGGATTTGGCGAGCCTGTGCAGTCGTAGCGTTAGCGCAGAGGTGCCTTACGCGGATATTGCGGCAGCATTGGGAGAGCCCGAGGCAGATGTAGAATCGTGGATCATTGATGGTGAGTCGGGCGCCTCGGAGCAGAGAGGCTGTGTAGCATGCTTGCAGTATTTATCTCTCAAGAAAATCGACTCCTGTCTCGCCAGTCATTCGAGCGGGTCTGGTCTCGGGCAAGTTGAGCCAGGTGACTTCTTCATTCAGAGTGTATAAGAGCACTTTCAGAACGTTTGGAGATCCAGAGTGGAAATCATTGGAGCAGAAATTGGTCAATTGGCAAGGATCGATCGATAGGATCTTGACAACCATCGATGAGGCCAGAAGTAGCGGAGCGGCTCATGCACCGGCGAACGCGGCTGGCACGGCAGCGGAACAGAATCAGATGGCCCTGACTGTTTGAGCCCTGATTGTGCACCATGTCATATCGTAGTCTTTACAATGCCATACGATATGGCGAGCTTTCTTGAGCATTTCTCGTTGACAGGAAGCAAGCATAGGCACTGTCCCGGTTTTAGCGCACAGCCGAGCCTGGCAGCTTGCCGCCGATAGCCACAATGAGAGTTCTCGAAAGGTTGCCGCTCATCTCATACACCGTTCGATATAGCCACACTCTGCAATCCCTGTGTCTGGATCAGTCCGTTGAGATGCATGTATGCTTTCAGGTGCCGCTCAAGTATTGCTGCCTCCTCTTTTGAGCTTTACGATCTTTAAAGTACTGCAGTTCCTTTTTGCTCAATTTCTGCGCAGCTCTCCCTCCGCTCGCGCTGGCACTGGCAGCACCTGCGGCCTCGGCCCTTTCGGCGGCCCTCTGCGCCTCGTACGAATCCACATCGAAATAAGCATTCATCTGTCTCTTTGCTTTGGCGCTCGAAGAATGTCTTGTTGAAGCGTCCGGGTTTGCTTGGGAGGGAGAAGAGGCAGACACCATTCGACCTGTTCGGGCGTCAAAGTAGGCCCCGACAGAGTTGGAAGCGGTAGCAATGGTACTGCCATGACCTTGACCTTGCGAATGCGCAGTGCGGGCTGAAGCGAGCTGGGAGGCATAGAGCTGAGAATCGAGAAAGGCCAAGTCGGGATCTATACCTGCTGAGATGGCTAAGTCTTCGTCACTCATGGGTGCGGAAGGAGCTCCAGCTTGAACGGCCGCGGACGAGCGGGTCGCTCTTTGTGCTCCGCCTGAGCCCGACTCTCCCAGAGGATTTGTCCATGTAGTCTCTCCTGATGCCGTGTTCCAGAAATAGTACGCCCCGGATTGAGGGGCCCATACTGCAGAAAGAAAAGAAATTTGGCTCAGCGGTGAACTCACGATTTAAGCAAATCAGTTCACAGTTGTTGAGCGCGTCCAACTCACCAGCTTGCCACGAGTGAGCATGTGAGGGCACCGGCTCGTCCGGTAAAGGTGGCTGAGATTTTTCAATCTGGGTCAAACCACTGCTTGATTCGTTGATCTCCTCGTGCTCCGCATCATGCGGTCCATTTTCTTCAGTTTCCACCAGTCCCACTTCTGCACCTGATTGAGGCGCCAACATGCTTCCTTCGGGCCTTTCAGCTGCCGCGCCTATTGCCTCTGTTTCCTCATTCACAGAGGATTGGTCCTGGGCTGCGACGTCCTGCGAGTTCTGACCTTGCGCTGGAAATGAGGAACTTTTGTCGAGCACTTCGGACGCCTCTTCTCCAGAACGAGCGGCTTGGTGAGCCGCATCTGCGTGTGAACTGTCACCCGCTGTTGAATCGACCATCTTGCTCGATAATCTGCGGGTAGCGCGAGGACGTGGAAAGGGACGTCTACCAGATGGGCTGGGTATCAATAGCCAGCAAGTGCTCGGTGTATAGCCGTGTGTATGCGAAGGTCGGAGTGTCCATGCCGAGCTCGGCCATCCACACTTCCGCTTTGCGCGTTATGGCGAAGAGGGAAGAACTAGGAGACTCCGGTGCTGGTATAGCTTGACTGACTTCACGAGTGATCTCAGCTCGTCTTCTCGGACCTGTTCGGCCGATCCATCCTACTGCTCTGAACTTTGCGCCAAGACGCCGCGCGCGTGATGTGGAGTTGAGGCCGCGATTGTGATTGCATGCTGAGGTCAGCCGGCTGTGTCCTTGGAACACTCGCAGACCAACCACTTCTCCAACATGAACGTCGATCCAAGTCAAGGGTCATCATTGTCACAGGCTGTGCCCCTTCGAAAACTTGCCACGAGCATGACAGGGTGTGGAAAGGGAACGGTGTGAAGTCGAGCTGCTCTCGGCTTGTAAACCTACTCCATCCCACAGATGCCGAGGCTGGCAAGACTCAACGTAGAGACGGCCAAGGGTCGATCTCAAAGGTTGCGTTCCAGTCAAACGAGCGCAAAAGCGAACGCAAGCACAGGCACTGCGCGGCATTCACCATCCACGCGAAGCGACAATCATGGCACAGCTTCGACCGGACACACTCTCGAGACTGCCGTAGATCTAGTTTCGCCTCCAACTTCGCCAACCGCACGGGCCGATCCGGACGATGACCCCTCCATCCTTCGCAGGCAGGCCTTATCCAGCAGCGCTGCTGAAGCTGTCAGAGCGAGCGGAGCAGCATGGAGAAAGCGGCAAGAAGCTCAAGCTGCTGCCAAGGCCTCTGATGCTCAGTTCAGAATGTTGCATCGCCCTGCCGTCAAGCTGGAAGAGAATCTTTTGAGCGGCGACGCGGCACCGCCAGAGGCTGACATGAGCTCGACGCCCCGTGTGAAGGCGGAATCTGGAGTTGCTCAACAGCGCACCGCATCTGCTACGCATTTGCATTGTCTGCAGAGGGGGTCAGACGTCAAGCCTGATCCGGATGCCGAAGACGCTCCTGCAGAATACGCTTCTAGCGATATTCCACGTACCCCTCCACGAAAGCGCCAGAGAAGGGAACAGGGACCAGTTTCAGCATTGGAACCAGCTTTGCCACCAGCTACCACCTCGCAAACAGATGCCGGAGGGAGCATGGGAAAGGATGCTGCACAACGTGTGCAGGCAGAGGGACGTCAAGCTAGCACGACTCTCGATCACGAAGAGGCTGCAGATGGAGACGACGAGGTCCGCGTGCGAGACTTTGAATGGCCAGAGCATTTCCTCAATCTCGAGCTGGTTTTCAAAGCTCTCAATACGGTTTACGCTTTTTGTCAATCTCGCAAACATCTGTCCACCACTTACAACACTCTCAGATCCAGCGTAGAAGCGTTGCTCAAGAGAAACTTGGAAATATTCGACTTGGCTCAGCTGAAGTCTTTGTGTCCCGACCTTATCTCGTTGGCGTACGTCGATACGGACGCCTTGTTTCTACATCAAGAACTGACAGCTTCGACTTCGCTCAAGGGGAAGGCGGCAGAAAGGGCAGATATAGACAAGACGTATGCAGATACAGCCAGGGACATAGAAGCGGAAGCCCGAGAGCTTCAAGCGAGTACCAGTCAACTCGCAAATGACGCCTCGCTTGAAGGCCTCTTGCCAGCTATTGAACTAGAACAACCGCCAACGCAGAACGCGAGCGGAAGGCCGAAGAATAGCAGAGAAGAAGAGGATCAGTATGTCCTCATGTTTGAGTTCAATGATGGAACGCTTCTGAATGGCCACAAAGCTACTGGTAGGGGCGCTCGTTTTGCCAGACAGAGAGCGGCGAGAAGCAATGAGCCCATGAGGGGAAATCCGAGGTAGGTAGGCACTGTTTCGAGCCTTCATCTTGCGTGGCTGACGCCTATCATGTCCGGGCGATCTTTGCCAGGCGTCTGCCAGACATTGATCCTGTCAAGGCGGCCAAAGGAATGAAGAAGCTGATCGACAAGCGTAACTTCAAATTTGAGCAAGCCGTCTTAGAATTGCTTCACGCTTGCATGGCGAAAGTAAGTGTCTTGTCGACGCATGAGCAAGGATATCTGCTCGCTAATCTGAACGTTGCTGCTTCTTCTGTAGAACGAAGAGCCAGTCCAGCTACTCATTGCCGCTGCTGCCGAGCATGTGCCTGTGGATCCTAACGGCAAGTTGAGCGATCCCTTGGGCGAGACACCGAGAAAACGGCGCTTGCGTCTTGAACACCTCATGACTCATCCCGAAGAGAGACCACCCATTACTGAAGTGATCGACGAGATGAAGGGCCAAAAATGGTGGAAAGATCAGATTGTGCCTGGCGGGCACAGAATCATGGAAAAGAGGGAGCCACGGCACGAGGGGCTGACCTTTGCCCTCTCTCAAGAGCTGGTCGACGCACTCTATGCTACCAGGAAGATTGAGGACTTCTATTTGCATCAAGCTGAGGCCTTGAACGCGCTAGATGACGGCCGCAACGTCATCGTGTCGACCAGTACTTCCTCTGGAAAGAGTCTGATCTACCAGATACCTCTCATACGTGCTTTGGAGGAGGAAAGTACCTGCACCGCAATGTACATCTTCCCGACGAAGGCCCTTGCGCAAGACCAGCGTCGCACTCTTCAAGAGTTGCTCTTTCAGCATGAGCTTCTCACAGACATCTTTGTGACCACATACGACGGGGACACGGAAAAGACGCAAAGAACAGAGATAAGAAATCGTGCATCCGTAATCTTTACCAACCCCGATATGTTGCACCAGAGCATCTTGCCAAACGAAGCTCAGTGGCGTCGGTTCTTACAGAACCTGCGATTCGTGGTGGTGGATGAGCTGCACTGCTATAATGGGCTGTTTGGCGCTCATGTAAGCTTCATCATGCGACGCCTTCGAAGAATCTGTGCAGCGTTGGGCAACAGAAACATTCAATTCATCAGCTGCAGCGCCACAGTTGCTAATCCGGCCGAACACATGCAGACCCTATTTGGGATCGAAGAGGTGGCCGTTATAACTGAGGACGGATCGCCTTCTGGAGCCAAAGAATGGTTGATCTGGAACCCACCCCTGATAGACGATGCTGATCCTCAACAAGGTAGAGTGAGTGCCTATGCCGAGGTTTCACACATCTTTAGACACCTCGTCGAAAGAGGTGTGAGGACTATCATCTTTACAAAGGTCAGAAGGACCTGCGAGATTGTCATGAACCAAATCAGGAATGACTTGCTTTTGGAAGGAAGAGGAGACGTGGCCAAACGAGTCATGTCATACAGATCTGGATACTCACCAGAAGATAGGAGGAAAATCGAAGTGGATATGTTCAAAGGTCAACTGCTGGGGATTGTTGCTACCAGCGCCTTGGAGCTCGGTATAGATATCGGTTCTTTGGATGCGGTCATCATGCTCGGCTTTCCGTACTCAATTTCGAGTCTTAGGCAGCAAGCTGGTCGAGCCGGTCGGCGACAGAAAGACAGCCTGGCTGTGCTGGTTGGAGATCCATTCCCTTTGGACCAACACTATATGCGTAACCCTGATGAAGTGTTCAACCAACCCGACGCGGCTCTCACCGTGGATCTAGGCAATGATTTTGTCAGGGAAGGTCATCTTCAATGCGCAGCTGCAGAGTTGCCCATCCATCCTCACGATGATGCGATCTTCTTTGGTGGGGACATCACTGCGTTATGCAACAACAGATTGGAGCCCGATCCAGACGGCGGAGGATTCTTCCTACCGCGCTATGAGCTCAGACCCTTTCCAGCTCGAGAGATCGCCATTCGGGGTGCGAGACAAGAGACGTACGTTTACGTGGACGATACGCCCGGACGAACGGGAGGTGCTAGAGTCATGGAAGAAGTGGAAACGGACAGAGCAATCTTTGAAGCGTTCGAAGGCGCTGTATTCATGCATCAAGGACGCAGCTTCTTGTGCAAGGAGATCAGCCACGACACGCGTGTGGCTAGGATGGTGCAAGCCAACGTCAACTACCACACACGCCCAAGGGACCATACGGATACCGACGCGGTCGAAACGCATCGTATTCGATCGCTCCGGGGAACTACCAGCAGAGCTTACTATGGTCACGTTCGCATAGAAACTCGAGTCTGGGGGTACTTCAAGGTGGATAGAAGAGCTAATATTTTGGACACGGTGGATGTGGACTGCCCTCCCTTCAAGAGGGACACAAAGGGGACCTGGATCGATGTGCCGCTTTGGCTCATCAATGCGCTCGTCAGCAAGACCATCAACGCCGCGGCTGCAATACACGCTGCAGAGCATGCGATCTTGAGGTATGTGTCGCTACCCTCATCGGCTCGCATTGGCCTTTGAAACTGATGCGACTCCTTACGCTTGCTTTTCTGCTCAGTCTTACGCCGATGTTTGTCGTCACGATGGCCGGCGACGTCAGGACGGAGTGCAAAGTGGCGGAAAGAGAATATGCGCGCAAAGCTACGACGCGCAAGAGACCTGCCAGGCTCATCTTCTACGACACGCCCGGCCAGAATAGCGGCGTATGTGCCAAGGCGTTTGAGCATCTTGACGGTCTGATACGTATCGCGATCTGTGAGTTTCGGGCATGTGTAACGCTCCGCATACACACATAGACGCTGCTCACGTGCTAGCTTCCTTCGAACGATAAACGAACAGCGGTGATCGAATCGTGCGAGTGTCTGCAGGGCTGCCCACAATGCATCACCTGGCAAGGATGCGCCCATGCCAACGTCGTCACTTCGAAAGTCGGCGCTCTAGCGGTCCTGCGAGGATTGGTAGGCCTGGAACCGTTCGATGCGGACTTGCCGCAGCAGAACGAGCCAGGACATGCGGAGGGCAGATTGGACTCGGTAGACTCTTCGGGCCACACTATCTGTCAGGCTACTCCTGTTCGAGCCAACCCAGATGTGCTCGTGGAGGATCTAGAAGAGGTGTTGCCCCCGCAAATTGAAGTTGCCATTCATAGCGTCAAGCAGGAAATCAGACAGGAGAGGAGAAATGATAGAGAGGAAATTGGAGATTCTACTACTTTTGAAGAGGACCAGTCTGCCTCGTAGATATTTTCACTAGCGGAAACTACGTTCTCACATAGCCTCGCGTTGCTCACATATCGTCTGTACAACAACAATCCACGCAATCCGCCGTGTATCGGGTCGTGTGAACTTCGCCTAGCCCGAGATGCGCTTGCTTCTCGTGTTCTATTGGGGGTCGTGGGCTTCAGCTAGCGACAACCTTCCTTCTGGAAATGACACTGTGAAACAATGTCATGAGCGTATACAACAGCAATCTTGACAAGACACACACTCACTGAAAGTGACTGAGGCCTGCGAGTAAAAGCCAGGAAATGGCGTGTTGGTCAGCCGGTGACACTTGCGCCAATGGGGACGCTCATAAAGCCTTTTACTTGAGACTACACACCTGGTACTGTTCTCAAATGAGGCGGATTGCAAAACCAGTTTGTCTCCCACTGCTTCTCATCCCACGTCCTCTTGACGTACTTGGACACTTCCCTGCCCGTCCAGCTCTGCGCCGATTCTGCTAGCTCGCGAATTTCAGCTTGTGTGGCCGTGGCGGCCAAGCTTTCTTGCAGATGCTCGAGTGTTCGCCAGCCTGTGTACTTTGTCGAGTTCGAATTGGACGAAGAGCCTGTGTGCCCTCGAATACCATCTTTGACGATGGCGGACCATAGTTCACCCTTGAAGGGTTCGTCTTGCTGCCAAGGCGGATTGGGAGCAAAGAAGAGCGACCGCGTGTAGATTTCCTTCCGAGACCTGTAGTCCAAACAGCGCACTTACATTGAGCATCGCCGACATGCAGTGCTCTTCAGCAGCATTGCAAGGCTCCTCGTTGCGTCTACACTCACCACACTACCCAATGCTCACAATCTTCAGGTATGGCGTAGGGCCAATCGTTGGGTACTCGTCTGACCAACGTCTCATCATCCGTGTCGAGAAAGTAATCCTGCTGCAGAATCACCTTCGCCTCACTTGCTCGAGCGCCCTCATCATTTCCGGTCGTCTTCGAAAGGTATGCGGGCAGGGGGGCTTCAGGGTTGGGCCAGCCGAGACGAACAACTCGAATGTAATTCTCTAGACCGCCCCATTTTTTGCGGATGGGCTTGGCCCATTCCAAGTAGGCTCTGTCGCACGCTTTCAATCGCACCAGTCGATCCAGATCACCATTTGCGCAGACCTGCGAGTAGCAAACGGCATGAAGATCAGGTTGAGCGAATCAAGGTATTCAAGGCGGCATCGGAGGTGCATTGCAACGTTCAAGGAAGTGAGCATGGTGTTGCACAGCCGACGATCAACTCAACTCACTTCGCCCACCAGGTGCCAAGCCATGAGTTCTTCGTCGTCATGACGCTCTGCATGTTCTTGACCTCGAGGTCCTGACCAGAGCCCTTCGCCAATGGTTTCATCCAGCTCTAGCCCCTGAGATTGAAGCATCTCTATCAGTCGAGGTCTGAGAACCGCTCGAGCGGAAGCTGAATGGGCTTCTCCGAGTGCGGGCACGGGTGGGAGAATGCGCGAGGTGGTGGTCAGCAGGCGCACTGCGCTACCTGATGCGGCAGACATAATTGTTCTGGAGCCGCTGGGTGGATGTGCTCGGCTTCAATGCTGCGATTGATCCGTTTCGCGCTGTAGCCAGAAGCAGAGAAAAAGGAGGGGAAGGGCGGACGGACCGTCGTGAGTCAGATGCTGGACAGCTTGTGTATGCGCATCAGCTTTGTATGGACAGAAGTAGGATGCCGTCTATCACTGCATTTTGCTCTTCCGCATGCCATCGTGATCACAAATCAAGATGAGTTGGAATCGTGAGTCACGAGTGGTGCCGTAGCTGAGAGCACCTACGACCCGTGGACAGCGTACCGGTAGCCATTCAACGTCCCCGAACGAAGCATGTGCATAATCAAGGATCACGACTCGTGAATTCAGTTAGGTGCTTGCATGTTGCATGATGAGGCTGTGTGAAGCTTCCCGCCTCACGACAATCACGTGATCCTTGCTCAGAGTCCCAAATCGTGCGCACGCACGCAACGCGCCGACATATCAGCATCAGGGAAGCCCCTGACGCGACGTGCGCTAGACCAAATCTTGGCGGTCTGCGCGATTTTCTGCAAGGCTTCAGGCGGCCTTGCCAAGGATTGTAGTCGATGATTACAAGAGCGCGCTGGTTGATTTGAAGCACATTCATCGGGCCGCTCTCAGCAGGGTGCACGCACACAGTCAGCTTCGATCCGCCGACGGACCCAGCTGCGTTTTGCCTTCGTCTCTGGCCCAAAGCCTAAGCAGGCTTCAGCATCACCATCACCTCCGCTTCCCCCGCCTCAGGCGCTTGCCTGAAGAGCACGCTCCAACATTTTGATCATCATGATACGCTGACGATATTTACTCAAACCATCTATATACGAAGCACGACTTAACGCAACGCACGAAACTTAACGAACGAGACACGAACCAAATCATACCCAACTACCTTAAACACTTCTACAGCTAAAAGTGTTTCAAGATCAGTCCTCCAACGCGGATGCTCAGGTCCGCAGCGAAGCCCTCCAATATCTTCTGAAGTGGGGTATCAAGCGCGGTAGAGGCTTGCAGGACGCGATGTCCCACAACGTCACATCCACGGGCTGCCCTGTGGTCTACAAGCCGGTAGACCCTGTGCCCTTCTACCAGGATGGACAATTAAACTTCAAGGCTCACCAAGTAGGATGGATCATCAGCGGGTTTTTTGCCCTTGTGGCTACATCCTGCACAGTGTATTTGGTGGACAGGCACTTGGTGTTCTACACCTGCCCGCAACAGCAAAGACACATTGTGAGGATGCTACTCATGGTGCCAATCTATGCAATTGTCTCTTGGCTCTCCTACTTTTACTACAATCATGTGAGTCGCTTTGTCAGCGCGACGTGCTTCTTGGCGATGCGGCTGACACCTCTGCATCGCAACGCAGGCGATCTACTACGAAACGGTACGCGATTGCTACGAGAGCGTAGTGATCACTTCCTTCTTCTACCTCTTGCTGCAGTATATTGGAGACACGCCGGTGGAGCAAGACGAAGTCTTCCGCAATGTTAAGCTCAAGAAGTGGTTCTTCCCGTTGGGATGGTGGAAGTATCGACCCTCAGGATTGCACTTCCTATGGTTGATGAAGATCTCCATCTTGCAGTATGCCATCGTCCGGCCAGTCTGCACGCTCGCAGCAGTCGCCCTCGAGTACTTTGGATACTACTGCTTGGCCTCCTGGAGTCCCAAATTCGGACACATCTACATCTCGCTGATCATCAGTATATCCGTCACCGTGGCCATGTACTGCGTGGTGCAGTTCTACCTTCCGGTCCAGAAAGAGCTGAAACCTTACTCGCCAGTCCTCAAGTTCTTGTCGGTCAAGACCATCGTTTTTCTCGTCTTCTGGCAATCCACCTTCCTCTCCATCCTCGCTTACTTCAACGTCATCAAAGAGACAGAGTACATGACGGTAGAGGAGGTGCAAGTAGGCATCAATGCACTCCTTGAAACGTTCGAAATGTTCATCTTCGGCTTTGTTCATCTGGTAGCCTTCACTCACAAGATCTATCGGCCTGCAGATCGCACGCGGAGGACCAAGAGATGGGCGGCATTCAAGGATGTTATCGATTTCAGGGATTGGTGGTACGGCATGAAAGACTCTTCGAGGTACGTCCTCGCCAGATCTAGAGGACGCGACTTTACCTATGTCGACGAAGTTCGCAGGCAAAAGTACGACCACTTGGAGAAGGCAATGGGCAGAGATCGGTGGGCCGAGCTCGATCGGGAGAGGCAAAGGGCCAAAGCAGCGAGCAAGAGCTTCTTCAAAGACGGAGGCGCACCGGATGAGGGGTCTGGAGATGTGGATGTGGAGGACACAGCCGATGGCTCGGTTCTCGAGTCCGAGAAAAAGGCGGCAGAGCAAGATCCACGCTCAAAGATGCGTAAAGGTCCCTCCTCGGCACCAGCTCCAGGCGAGCACGACCCATCGCTGGGCAGACCCAAAGGCAACCGCGCTCTCGACCCTCTCTACGACCCGGAGGCTGAAGACGCGGGGAACCTCGACGACAACGAAGAGGAGGACGCGTTTGATGGAGATCAAGACGAAAATATTCGCAGAGAATCCAGAGGCTTGATGTCTCATATCGCCAAGCCTGCCTTGCCGACCCTACCGTCGCTGCGTTACGATGACACGCCGCCACCGTTATTTGCGCGTGAACGCAAGACCTTCCGGCCTGACCAACGACGGTACAAGTTGACTGCTCTGGACGATATTGAGCAGGAGGAAGAGCTCGACGAGAAGGTGCGAGACGCGAAGGAAGCTCGATCTCGAAGGCAAGGCAGCGGCAGCATAGGGGCATGGTGGAGAGGCGTCGTGGCTCGACTGTCCGGCTCTGAGACCGCTGAAGCTGTCCACCCGCAACCCGACGGAGTATTGGGAGACGTTCGCTCCAGCGATCACGATGATCGTCCAGCTGTGAGCAAGAAATGGTCTTCCTCGTCCAACGAGTCGGCAGAGATTTCGGCACTGCGTGATGCGGATTCGCCGTTGGATCGCTTCATTGCCACGCATCAATCGCCAGAAGGTACGAGCGAGCATAGTCCTGTCAATGCGACTAGGGAGTTGGTCGGACCAGCCACTCCTAGACAGACTACGGCCGAAACGCGACCGCCGATCTTGCAGACGGTCTCCACTGGTCGCATCGATAAGGAAGTTTTGGGAATGCCCAACGCCTTTTCGAGAGTATCAAGCATGCGCACAACGGCAGCTCGTACGGAGGCGACCCATGCGGATAGCGACGTGTCACCTCGTCTGTTACCAGATGCGGTAGGGCGTGCTGACAGTCTGCCAGTCTTGAAAGATGGGGTAGGTGTGCAGTCGCACGCCGCCAGTGTTGATGGGCACGCAGCCAACGGCGCAGCTGCGGACGCGCCAGTGCTGACGCCGATCTCCAGCGAGACATCGCCTTCAAAATTTCAGCCTAAGGATTACACCGCTAGAGACAGGCCACCGTCCCCAGCGGCATCCTCGGCTGCTGGAGTACCGCGCGGCACGCTTTTCAGCGACCCTGCCACAGACAGGTACGCAGCTAGAGCCGCGACTCGTCCACCTGTCCAAATCAGCTCTGGTGGCACACACAAGTCAACCGGACTCCCTGTTAGTCATACCAGCGGACTCACGCGGGAGAGCAAGTCTATGATAAGAGCTCATCGCTCGAGGGAGCCTGAGAAGCCGTTCGAGCTCGCGTCGCAGGCAAAAGGACTTCGAACAGACCAATCCAGACACAAGCCCGTCCAAGCGGATCTACAAACACCCAGGGCACACCCGCAACCGCAACCGCAACAGATGATACAGTCGCCGTCAGCTAGCCTAGACGCTGTGCTGAGACCTCAAGACTTCAGTTCGCAAAGGGCGAAGCACGGATATGCTTCGGCTCCAAATGCTGGACCTCACGTGCAACCGGCTCCGTCCGAGACTCCAGTGGTAGCTCCGAGGCCTGTCCGCGCATCAGCCCAGCAGTATAGTGCCCCGTCGACCAGCACTGTGCCAGCTCAAAAGCGCATCTCAACGGGCTCCAGCACCTCCTTTGTCGCCCCGCCGAACTCCATCTTTTCGTCCAGCCCCGTTCAGACGGAAATAGCGTTGGGAGACAATAGAGCGATATCGGCATCGGGCAGCAAGGTGGATTCAAGCACCGTGGCATGCCAGTCTCAGCGAGGTGTCGCTCTGGCTTCTTCCAGGACAAGCGTACATGCGCTTGCGTCGCTACCAGCGGATTCTAGACACGTCGCGTCTGCGAGTCCGCAGATCGTCGCGGGAAGATCTTATGAGTCCGGTGGCAGCCAGAATGTTGGATTCTTCGACCCAAGTCATTCTGCTCGAAAGGCCGAGAACCACTCTCCTAGAGCAAGGTCCTCTCAACCGCCTCCTCTTGCGGCACCTCATCGTGCTCCTTCGGTCAGCTCTGGCAAGACCACGCAAAGCGGACCCTCAGCAGGCGTGGCTTCTTCCCAAACGGCTACAGGTCCAAAGGGCAAAAAGATCAGCTTGATCTTGCCGACAGCGCTGTCACCCAAAGGCCTGTCCGAGCCTGCGAACGTGCAGGAGCCAGTGTCTAGTCAGAGAGCTGCGCCTGCTTCTACGACCACTTCCGCTTCGGGTCGTGAACGTCGACTGACGTTCCAGGATATCGCGAGGCCAGATGCTCGGTCAAGCACCTCTGGTGCGCCCAGAAGCAGGTCTGACTCTGTGCCGAAGCACAAAAGTATGGAAGAGAAAGAGCGAGAGTACCTCGGTCTGCCCGCCAAGCCCGGAACAAAGGGCACCGTGACGAATGGGGCACTTTCACAGGCTCAACGCCAGCGAGCGGAAGAACAGGCTGCGGTTGCGCGCGCAGATGCTGAGAGAGTTGAGGCGTTTGAAACGTGGCGTGCAGAGAAGGAAAGATTCGAGCGAGCTGCTAGGAATGCTGAGAATGCTGCGCGCGCCAAAGCTCAGGCTGAGCGAATCAAATCGCAGAGCCCGGCCACAAAGGGGCTACAGCATCTCACTGCTGCGCCCAAGGTTGGACCGAGTCAGATTGCGGCCATTCAGCCAGCATCCGTATCGAAGCGGACATGGTTTGGCACCAAGACCAGACAGCCTGCGCCTTACACGCCCCTGCCCGCGCCTTCGCAACTTGGTGTCGACGTCGGAGAGGACGCAGATGCCTTTACTGCCGCTGCGACTGCTGCAAAGTCGCCCGTCATCCCTGCCGAGGCACGGAAAGAGAAAGAGTCTAATCGAGCTGGCATTGGAGCCTCGCAGCTGGCCGCCGGTCCTGCTCAAAATTCGCGAGATCTTGCAAGCGGCTTACAGCCAGGCCAGACCATCAACCCTTACGCGTACCAGCGACCTCGTCCGCCAGCTCCTCGACAGGTCGTTCCTCAACCTTATCCCAACGCTCCGGGCATGCCGGGCAGTCGCTTCATGACCGGCGGCCCCCAGCCTTTCCGCGCGCAACACAGCTCCGACCAAGCAATGCGCCACATGGAAGAGGAACAATGGATGAGACAACAAATGCAGGAGACAATACTTGCTCAGAGACGCGCGAGAAGACATTCTATCGAGTCTGCAGAGTACGAGCAGAGAGGTCAGACAATGCAACAACGGCCCTCGTATGTCCGAGACGGATATGGATCGTCTAGAGAAAGAAGACATTCAATCGATCCAGCTGAACAATCCAGGACCTATCATCTACCTGGGCCACCTCGTTTCCAAGGTCCTGCACCAAGCTCTGCATCACGGCCGTACCATCCCCAAGCATCGCATTTTAACCAGCCATACATTGTCGAGCCTGCCCGCTCTCGTCGTGATACGATACAAGGCGGCGCTCGTGGGTATGAAGGTCCTCCGCAAATGCAAGGATCTCGTCAGTATTCTCTGCCGACTCCGTCGCGCGGCATGGGATCCGCCAATCCTGTTGCGCGAACGATGCACCCTTACAATACTCGTCCTGGATCCTCTCCGATCCATCAGCAGACGTATGGGCGCGACGCTCCGATTCAGCGCCAACCTCGACGAGCTAGTCGCGGGTATGAGTTGCCCGAGGGGTTCAGCGTCGACTATGTCGATTGACTGCGGCGCGGCAGAACACGACGGCCAAGGATCTTGATGTACCGCGTCCGACCCCTTCGACTCAACCTCGCTTTTGCCATTTGAAGACGTTCCCCCCCCCCCCCCCCTTGTGCCGCCGTAAACTCTTGAGCTGCTGCCACGTTGCAAGATTTTTGTACTTTTGAGACTGCATTTTTGCTCCTTTTTAATAGGGAATTGCTTTAAGATGCGAGGGCGTGCAAAGACGTGCGCAAAACAAGAGTCTATCGCCGCGAATGTGCGGGAGGAAGAGTGCATGTATTCGCACAGAGGCAAAGCTGGGGGTAAGGGCTGCGGATCATGCGCCGAACAAGTGTCTGGCACGTTCGACAGTGCGTCTCAAGAGCAGAGCCAGGCCGAGGCCTTGCCGCTGGAAACGTCCTTGTCGGGCTTCTTCGCCAAAAGACCTGAAGGTGGTATCGAGCGTAGCAAAGGCCGGATCAGGAAGTCCAGTGCCGGGTTCCTTTTTCGGTAAATGTGGATCAAGTCCAAGGCGGCCCGATCTTCGGCTCGAAGGCGCGGTGAGACGGACAGGCAAGCTGCTCAACAGTTCGGGAGAAAGTTTGCCGCTCTTGCGCAAGCCCTCTATCAGACTGACCGCAATCTCTTCGATGCTGGCCTCGAAGCATCTTTGCAGCTCCGAATCCACATCGACTAGAGCTCTGCGCGCGTGAAATGGCGCTACGCCATTGTATCGCCGAATAGACCTGTTTATATCGGCAACGCAAGCTTCGTGATAGCCTCGCTCCGTGGCTTGCCACGCCACGTCTCGGTAGCTCGAGACGAGCTGCAAAAGCTGTGTGTATGCTGTTCCAAAATCACCGCTCTCCGCAGATCCAGACGTCTTGGGAGCGTGGGGAATACTCTGCACAGTCGCTTCTCCGATCACCCGCTCCAACTTGCCTTCGGCGAGAATGATCCTACTGGCGCGACGAACCCACGAATCTTGCAACCTCATGCGAAAATTCTGATGCGTGGATTCCAGGTCGCTGTTCAGCTCCACGAAGGGTGGCGCTGCGCCTTGTCGCTTCACGAGGCGATTCATCAAGCGCTGCACGAATGCCAGGTGGGTGAGATGAGAATCACAGAGCATCATCGCTATTGCGACACGAGGGCAACTCACCTCTTCGCGAGAAAGGTACGGATTGCTCTCCTCCTCTGTCCGGCTCAAAGGCTTACCGCGCAAAGAGTTCGTTTTGAAATTCCCGTTTCTCATGCTTTCTTTGATGCGTTCCTCTATGATGCCACCAATACCTCCTCCGCCAGAAGTGAATACGAGTTCAGAATCTTTCTCCTCCTGACTTCTTCTGTCGGTCACGTCGGTCAAGTCCCAGTTCGCCGCGTCGCTTTCTGAAAGAGGTGCGCCAGAGGTACGAAGTTCACTCTTCTCCAGCTCTTCGGGGTGTGCTTCGTCTACATCTAGCACTCTTCCGTCCGAGCCTCGTCTAAGGCCCAATCTGTAATCAAGAGTGTTTTCCTTGGCACGCAGCATTCTACCTTGTCTCTCCGCTTTCCTTCTTCCCTCCCTCAGTCTGCTCATCGCCCTCGGGTCATCCCAGGGTATACCGGCCGTTTTCTTGCTCTTGTTGGGAATGACAGAAATGTACTTTGCTCTATAAATGCTCCCTCCAGACTCGTCTCTACTCTTACCGCCGATATGCGCGGGGTTGATGAAACTTGCGAGCCATGGTTGGCCTTCTGGAGTCTTTGGTAGTCTGCGACCTTCGGCGTCCGGTGGTGGAAGATCCAGGAGTGCAGAGATTCGACTTGAAGTGCTCTGCGGGACCACATGAGTTCCAACACTGCCCGTCGACGTCATACTAGGTGCGGTCTTGATTCGACCACTCATGTCTGGTTGTTGTATGCTGCCCATCTTGACGTCCCCTGGATGTTGGGAATTGTAACCGCTCTGAGGTGCACGCATCCTCAAAGGCTTGTACTTGTCCTGCAACATTCGTTCAATCGTCGCTTCTACCCGCTCATCGCCCGTCCACACTTCGCCTTGACCAGCGATGAGACGAGCCTTTTTCTCTGCATCTCTTCTAGATTCCTCGCTTGCGTGACCTCCCAAGGATGCCTCTTCCGCCAGAGCATCTGCAAGCAGCTTGGCTGATCCGGTCAGTGGCTCGTCGGCAACCAGTTGACTGTCGTCTCTGTGTTCGCCTTTGGCCCGGCAAACGGCAGAGTTGCTAAAGGACCTCGACGTGTGGAAGTGGGACTCTCGACTTGCATCACGATCAGCAAATGCGAGTCTGAGCCGCTTGCGAGGTAGCAGAGCACTCTTGACCGGATGAGCACCCGGTGTGAGTGACGAGAAGGCATGCCGTGCAATGATAGCCAAAGGCCTCGCGCCGCCACATACCGCACAGATGCTTCGCATGGTCTGCTGTATGCGCTCTCTCGAGCTTGTGCTGGGCAATCCAGGTGTGAGGAGACGCGAGTGACCAGAATCCAGCGAAGGATCAGCTTGCCATGTTGTGGTCAGGTGCTGGAGGAGTGGCAAAGTCACTCATGATTCAAGCGCTCAAGAATTTACGATTTCAATTCACGATTCAAATTCAGATTATGCGGTCGCCCTGCATCGTCATCATGGTGGAACGCTTCGGTAATGCCGCGTGAAACACGTGATCCCATTGAACAGCTTCTCGAATCTCGACCGATATCTTTGACCTGCTCAAGTCGGGAACTCGGGGCGCTTGCTCTCCCACATGATTTTGCCGGTATAAAGTAGGTCGATCAACAAACGAGCAAAGTAACGAACAGCTATCAGGTCGATGCGCCGCTGCTGCAATTCGAGCTTCGTGATTGCATGTTCATATTGGGAGGGGTGCCTTGGAGAGGAAGGAACGAATAGGGCACGCACGCACAGCGCGGCAAATGACGAGTCGTGAGTCAAGTCCGTGCATGGGTGGAAGTCCTGAGTCCTCATGAGTCAGTCAGAGTCTTTCCGAGAAAGCGCGGCGGGCCCCTGCTGGCCTCGGCATGCTGCGTAGGTGCGCGTCTTCGCTTGCACTCACGACTCGCAACTCACTTCCGAGTTTCTGGGGACGACAGCGCGAGCTCTTCTTCCGATCCCGATCGTCTGCCGATCACACGCCTGCTCTCCACTCCTCCTCTTCTCTTGGCCCGCCCGCCTATCAGCAGCATTCTAGAGTCTACCTTACTCTCGAGTCTCTCTTGCCGCTTGCTCCAGTTCTCCTTGCCGCTTGCAAGTGGACTCGCGTCTCTGCGCCCTCAGGTCCCTATCGACGTCCCCGCCTAAACGTCACCCATCACTCATCCTTTCCCAATCATGGCCTCCCCACTCTCTCCGCTGCTACCTCGTCTAGCTCACGCCCTGTCTCGCATAAGCACGACGACAGCCCGTACCATCGCATCTCCGCCTACTCAGCCGCGAAGAGCTTCTGTAGCGCTGCTTTTGCGCGTCAGACCGTGTGCGGAGGATGAGCAGCGTTTGAGCGAAGAGTACGATGCGGACGGATTACCTTTGCCTGGAAGCGAGGGGGCTAGAATGTTGCTGGAAGGCGCATCGGGCATCGATTCCGCTCGACCTGCCTCGAGTGAAGAAAAGTCGGAATCAGCATCGCGATTGCAACCATCTCAAGTCGACTTGGATGCGATGGCACAAAGCTCTCAGCTGGGAGAGAGCTTCACAAGCAGCTTGTTACCCGACCAATCCACTACTTTGAGCCAGACTGCAGCTTCTGCTTTGCCCTCGGATGCTGGTTTGGGCGCATCGAGCTTCACCGATGTAGGAAGTGATGTCGACTCGAGCAGAATCACTGCAGGTAGTGCGAATGTGACAGAAGGTGCTAGGTCTCACCGCAACGCCGCTTCCACCTCCGCATCAGCATCGGCATCGGCATCGCAAAGGCTTTCAGCATCCAGCACAGACGCAGGAGCAGCTGAGTCCAAGAGCACAGGCACCGCTCCAAATGTACCTCAAACGCTCAACACCTTCTTCGATCTGAGCTGGGTGAAACGCGGCACGCCCGAGCTGCTCTACATCAAGCGCAGCGCTCGTCAAGGTGACAAATGGTCGGCGCACGTCGCCTTTCCTGGAGGTAGAAGGGAGGAAGGGGACGAGAATGGGCTGTACACTGCCATGAGGGAGACTTGGGAAGAGGTAGGCCTGGACTTGGCCGAGTCGGAATTTCTGAGCATCGGACAATTGGACGATAGGGAAATCACAACGAGTCTGGGCAAAAGATTATTGATGGTACTCAGTCCCTACGTCTTTTTGCAGACGAGTCCTTTTAGCCCCCTGCCCGAATTGCAGGAGACGGAAGTGGCCAGCGCTCATTGGATATCTCTGGACCTGCTTTACACTCCCAAACCCAAGTGGGGCCTGACGAGCGTGGATATAGCTTCCAGATTGGCGCCCAAGAGCCCCGCCGTCAGATGGGCCTTGCGAGCGTTGGTGGGAAAGATGGATTTCAGATGCATACTGCTCCCCAATAAGCCCGTAGCCACTGCCGAGGGCGAAGAGGAAGATTCGGCATTTGACAAGGACCTGGCAGAGAGTCGCAAGGAAAAGGGAGACGTAGGAGAAGGCGATGCAGGGCAGAGGCCCGAATTGCGCCTTTGGGGCCTGACTCTCGGTATGACCTTGTGAGTTCTGCCTACTGCATGCAGCACGAAGAAGCTAATCCGACTCTGACTTGACTCTTCATCCCTGCCAGAGACCTGCTCGCGCACATGTCAACGCTCCCAGCAACAGGTTTGCGCACGCACCACTCCTTTACCCCCGAAGGTCTGCCCTCCTCTCAGCACACGGAGTCAGACGAGATGGAAGCAGTCTTGTCGCAGACCGAAACTCTGCCCAATCTCAATCAGCTCCTTCGAGATCCCAGACAATCCGCTGCTACCATTTGGAGCGTGTTGAGGGACGAGCTGCATTTGACTCCTCCACCTCAAGCCTCTGCGCTCGCTCCTAGCATGACCAGCGTCTTTCCCAGGTTCAGCTATCCCGACGTCAACTTGTGAGTGCTTGTCGTGAGCTGACAAGGACTCCCCAAAGGTGAATGGGGCGCAAACAAATGACTGACCTGATTCGAATCGGCCTTCGCGATACTATAGCTGGATCTGGGTGTTTGGTTGGAGGTATAGAGCAGTGGTCAGGGGCTGGGAGAGGGCGTTGAGTCAGGGAAGCGAGAGGAGGGTCAATTGGAGCGGTACGGCTCTCGGGGCATTTTAGTGAGTGCTGAACGCGGCTCACTCGAACACGGTGTACGAGAAAAGGCAGGTTGGCTGACAAGCTTTCGCGGCGCCCCGATTTTTTTGCGCCACTTTTCTACACAGCTCCGCGGTCCGTCGAGCTCTGGTGGTCGCCATCTTACTGCGAGCACTAGGCTTCGCATCCGTCGCGAGCTTGTTGGGCTGGCTGAGCGCCAGGCGCGTATCAAGACGGCGGAGAGGTCTAGACGGATTAGGACTAGACGAGTTTTGGGGCGCGGATTGACGAGGGTGCGGTCGAGCGAGGCAGAAAGCAAATAGAGTCACGAGCGATTGTAGGGCGAATCCTGGCACAATGGACACGGGGCAGATCAAGTTCCTGTTCTTGCCAAGCATCTCATTCATTAAAGGCCAGCTTGATCGACAGGGAGCTCGATGCGCGCGTGTCAGAAATTTGCATCACAACCCAGGGAGCACGTTCGGTATGGTGCACTGTCTGTCCGAATGCGCTTCGGGCCAAGCTAGTCAAGGTGCCACGCTTCAGAGAATCACTTTGCTTCCCGAAAGCTCGAAGCGAGTTGGGATTTGAGCGCAAGGCTATGAAGCACGTGCGGATCCCCTTCGCTTGATGCCGATACGAAGCTCGACCGGCTTCTTCAGAAAACCTGGGTCGGAAAACGAGTATAGTGAGGATCAGCATGCCAATCGCGGGAAGGAAGAATGAGCGCAACAAGCAGTCACGCATTCCGCTGCTCACCTTCGCGGGTCTGGAAGAATTTCTCCGGTTCCTCGAGCTGGAGGGAAGCGGTGCCTTGCGTTAGAATGTCATGTGTTTGTGATATCCAAAGTCCCGGCGCAATGCTCGACTCTCACCACAAAGTCGTAGCGATGGATCAGAGCAGCGATTAGTATGCTGAGCTCGGCCAGGGCCACGTTCCTGCCCACGCAAGCTCTAGGTCCGACGGAAAAGGGATTGAAAGCCTTTTCCGTCTTTTTCTTGTAATTAGCATCGAGCCATCTGTCCGGTCTGTACTGCCTGGCATCGGCTCCCCAAACCGAAGCGTCGTGGTGAATGGTGTATGTGGGGACAGAGAGAACGCTGCCGCCGGGGAAGAAATGGCCGGCGATCACGGCTCCCTGGGCAGGAAGCACGCGCGGCAACCCGATCGACGAGGTGCCGTGCGTTCGCATCGACTCGTTGAGCACTGTGGTACAAGACAGGCTGGATCTCAGTCGAGTCGGAAGTTGCGACTGACAGCGTCGAGGTCTGCTCACCTCCCTGAAGATATGGTAGCCGATCGACGTCGCTCATGAGCGGAACATCTTCAGCATTGACGAGCTCCTTGTCAAGTTCGACTTGCAATTTCTTGAGGGCATCGGGTGTGCTTCCCAAATGGTACAAGATGGCACAAGAGGTGTTGCTCGTAGTGTCGGAACCAGCAATGAGCTGCGTCAAAGCTTCTGCAGTCAATTCCCTTTTTTCCATCTGTTCACCTTTCTCGTCCTTTGCCGACTGCAATGCCGCGAGCAGATCGTCCCTCTCGCTCCCGTTCACCAGTCGATCATTCACTCGAGCGAGGGCGATACCGGTCAGGGTCCTGACCGCCTGCAAGCGCTTGGCGAACCATGGCTGGCAAGCAACCACTGCGTTAGTGAAGCAAGCCTGGATTGGACCGATCGCCGGGCCAGCACGCGCTCACCAGTCTCAGGGTCAGAGGACGAAGCCAATAAGGAACCAATCCAATCGTGGCGCTGACCTCTCCGCGCAGATTGATAGTTTCCACAGCGCTACACTTCTTCGTCTCCTTGTTTCCGTTGGCATCTTCCACCTCGGCCATCGCGACGTCCTTGCCGCTCTCGAGCATTCCAAATGTAGAGCCAAAAGCCAAATCTCCAATCGTGTCGAAGGCGAAGAAGTTCATCCACTCTAGCGAGTCAAGCCAGGCGTAGCCTTTTAGTCCCCGCGGGCCCTGAAACACAGGGAGAGATTCTCGAAGTGAGCATATCATTTTCTTGCAAAACGTCGCAGACACCATGCCCTGCACAACCCACCTCCGTTTGCTTCTCCTCCGCAGCTTTGCAAAATTCATCCCAGCGATCCAGCAGCAGCTGAACGTCTTTACGGATAAAGTGCTCAAAGCTGACAATTTGCTTTGGGGAGAACGCATGCGAGACGGCCTTGCGCTTGCGCGTATGTTCTGCCCTGTTTGTCGTGTTGAACAATCCCCTGACAGCCGGAGCAGGCGGAACGAAACCGCTGTAGAAGCGTTCTTCCTGCAGAAAATCAAGACTTGCGTCGCATCAGTTCGGCTCGGCTCGGACGCAATGGCCAGACGTACGACTCATATCATAAGCACCTTCAGTGTTCCGGTGGAATGACCATAGATGGGATTGAGAGCGTCCGCATCCGCAATGGAAATGTGATTCGGGGCGAGCCTGACGACCTTGCCTGACAGCGCACCAAAGAAGAGTAGCGAGTCAGGGCCGAGATGGCCTTGAGGTAGCGCTGACTTGCCAGCCTTGCACCAACTCACCGTAGCGCCTGTGCAGATCATCGACTACGCGCCATCTATCGCCTCTCATAGCCTGTCGTGTAAGCCAAAGGTCGGAGAATTTGGCCAAAAAAGGTCCGGGAATGCCAAAGTATTGAGGTCTGCTGAGAAAGTCCAGAGCATACCAAGCAATCTGTGGGCGGAGGTGTGAGCGCAAACACCGAGCCCGTGTTGAAGCAGGCATAGACTCACCAATGCGCAGGTGAGACTTAGCAAAACGTGAGATGGTCCCTCCAACATCCATGACACTGCTCTGGAAAAAAACGGCAGCACGTCCGTCTTTGTCATGATGCAGGCCAAGCAAGGGGCTGTGCTGGCTGGAGTAGATGCGTTGGTTTGGCTGGTGTTGCCCTTCTAAGTCCTTTCGAGACTCCAGCCAGGTCGAGCTTGTCTCTGTCACCGCTGCGTCAAGCACAACGCTTGCGGGTCGCGAGACTGCTTGAGACGAGAAGCTGCGGCTATTGCTAGGGATTCAGTGGTGGAGCAGCCCGGGTTGAGCAGGAGCCAGAGTTTGAATGTCGCGTAGCGCTTGATGATGGTAGCAGTGATATTGACCGAAAGTCGAAGAGGTGCACCGATGGATTGCCTCGATCGAGCAATCGAGGATTTGTTACTGGTGTGCGGTGCTGCTTTATAGGCGCAAGAGCGGGCGCTCTGCTGTAAGGTGCGCGTGAGAGAGGATCTGGTAGTCACGAGTGTTGCACGTCTGATGAATCTGAATCACCAATTGTGAATGACGAGAGAGAGATTTGGTCATGTGCAGCAGCAGCTTAGCCAGATTAAGCTGCTGCATACAGTAGCGCCACTCATGCAGTCAGTCGTCCCTTCTCCACAAACGTCGATGCACCGCACACAGCACACACCTGCTGCTGCAGCCAGCCGGGCTTTTTTGTGTGTGATGTGGGGTAATGGGCGAGTCTAGCGGGCTTGCACTTTCCCATGCCGCGTGCTGCTGGTGCTGCTGGTGCTGCTGCTGCTACCATGCACCTACCACGTACAAGCATCGGCAAAGATCCCGCCGCTTGCCTTACGGTTTGATGATTTGCAAATGCTCATCTCGTCATCAATCTCGCATTCCCATCGTACAGTTGGCTAGCGAGCGGTAAGCGAAGCGCAAAAAATCGAAATGTTGCGCACGCCTCCGTCACGGTCACGGTCACGGTCACGGTCAGTCTTGAGTATGGGGCCCCTGCCATTCGCAACAAGGAAATTTAGGGGCGGAGAGATAGACAGCATACACCAAGCTTGTAGGTCAGTGCATCTGAGTAAGTAGTAAACATTGTGATTTACATATATATATATTCACATTCCTGATGCACATTCACAATTCTCGATTCACAGCTCTCTATTCAAGCTGAGTGAGATCACGAGCAGATCATCGCAGGGTAGGTTGGGGATGAGAGAGGGCATGGCCGGGGGGAGCTTGGATCATGAATGTTCGCTCCGAGCATGTGACCACACGCTTCTCTATAGCTGCAGTCGAAACATGCACACCGCGCCTGCCGTGTTTTCCGTCAAAGGGAGGCATCAGGCACAAGGGCGGGGGAAGGGGGGGGGCAGAGCTAAGCGATCGTTCCAGCTTATAGCAGCGATGCATGCATGTCCACAACTCATCACATCCATGACGAGATGAGCAAGGTGTCAAAAGCTATCAAGAGTCAAAGGGTCAGGGGACCGAGGAGCACGCTCGTCAGGGGGTCGAAATGCGGCTGATTAGGAAGCCTTCTTGGCTACGCTATGCCCTAAGTGTTCACATTTGCCCCAAAGTGGGACTCCCTTGTTCGGTAAGGCATGGGCTGGGCAATGCCAATCAGCACCAAACTCATGCGCAGGAGCGATCCTTGCTCTCGTCACTCGCGAGCTTCAATCAAGGCATGTCAGTCAAGCGTTGCTGGTCCGCGCCTTTGGTCCAATTCACTTGCGCGGCGCAGCTTGACCGATCTACACGCTTCTGACCGGTTCGATCCGCAGCCCTCTTGCGCAGCATTCACGTCTACTTTTTGCCTTTGAAGGGGCTCAGAAAGCGCTCAGGTGAAGACGCGACGCCAACGCGACACTTCGCGGTGATGGTCTCCCGCATTATCAGTAGTGAGGGAAATGATGTCAAGCTGTAAAGGCGAGTCGCACATCGCATTCCTCAACTCTCGCTGCTCAGGTCAGACAGATGCGGTAAGAGCAGTACCTTCCCGACGTCTCAGAAGCTGCGCAAAAGAGGATGGTCAAAGATTCCGGTGAGCGTCGAGGGCATGGACAATGCAAAAGTTGACAAGAAGATCGACTCACGTCGAGTGATCTTGACTACCTCTCCACGCTGCAGACCAAAGTATCTCGCCACTGGATCATCCAATCTAATTCTGGGCAGCTGTGTCTCTTTCAAGCGGCTTGAAAGAGAGAGGTAGAGCAAAGGGCGCATCAGCGCAGAGTCCCGCCCTTCGGCTATCCAAAGGGATTACACAAGGTTGTGAATGGACTGATGCGAGCACTCACTATCTTTGCAAAAGTTCAGCCTTCTGTTCCTTTGTCATCACTTCGTGCTGAGGCACTAGATAGTGTTGCGTGATATTGACGAGCAGCTGAGTCTCTTGAAAGTCCTCAAGCGTAAAAGTAAGACGCATAGCTTCGGTGACCTACAATGTCGACAGACGTATGTAATAAGCAACGCTGTGTTGCGCAGCGCTCCATATCCGGCTCACCTTCTTGGCACTGGCAGTCATCTTGTCGGACCACAGAATGATCCCTCGTGTAATATCATGAGTTTCGAGCGTTTGGACAAAACTCCTCATCGTCTTGACTCCCACATTCCTTTCGTCAGCATAGTAGACAAAGACTCGGATGGAAGGATCTTCAGCTAGTTGAGCGTAAAAGTTGAGCGCTTTCCGATCGACTTGGCCATTCGCTGCGAATTCGGATTTGAAGGCGTCGAGTGAAATGTTGATCTCATCGTCCGACACGACGTAGCCCTGCGAATAGGCGAGGAGAGTAGTGGTGTCACTATGAGATGGCAGCGCATACAAACGCGATTCTTTGCTAGAATGACCTCGACTTCCTTTCCTGCCGAAGTCAAGCCAACACATCCACTCAAGGTCGGCCCAGGTGTTCACCGAGCGCGTCACATCCAGTTGGCTTCGGCATTGGCACCATCCGTGCAAAGCGTTCCAAGTGGTATAGTCGCGGCTCTTCTGGAAGCATGAATACATTGCAATCCCATTCGTACTCACTCTGTCCCTGACAAGCTCGTGGATGGTTCGGTTCACTCTCCAAAGCTTTGCCGTCTCTCTGTCATCTTCCGCCATGGCGCTTCAAAACGATTGCTTGACAGACTCGAGCTTTCCGGCTGGCGCCGTCCCAACCAATGACTGCAGACTTCGCAAAGCCTTGAATAGCGCACGTGTATCTGAGTGAGGCGGGCCAGGAAGAGATCCACCCCCAGCGTGCACTGTATTCAGCTCCCAAAGGGCTGGTTGTCGGTACGAAGGTGCCTGCTGTCGATCGAGGATCAAGGCTAGGCTGGCAGACGGGGAAGCAGAGCTGAGTGTGTCAGAGCAACGTATAAAGTGAGCAGTGCCGCGATCTTGTGCGATGATGTTGTCTCAGAAGCCAGAGCAGGTGGGATGGAGGATGAAGGGGAGATCGCGAATCTGCTCTCGCTCGTCAGACAGCTGTGGGCTCCCTCCTGCGCCAAAGCATGATGCATCCTGTCGCAAAGTTTAAAGCGGGAGGTGGTCACGTGACGCGGCTTTTTGAAGTGCATCGTGATAATAACAGACGTGTGCGTGGAGAAGACACCGCTTGGCGCTTGCCTACTTATTGCTCACTGTTGCTGCTTTCCCAACATTCATGATTCATCGTGCTTTGACCTGTTTAGCCAGAAATGGACTCGGGCTGATCAGACTTGTCAAGATGAAATCTGCTCTCCTCACGCTCCAGTAGGGCCGCCTCGAAGTTTGGGCAAGCTATTCAAAATATTGCCGCTCTTGCTTCGGCCGCGAGAGGCGCGCATCATCAGCACTCCCCAGGGCGGAAGCAAGGGACGCAGTCAGACCTCATCAAGATGGACGCTTTCTCCATCCGACTCGACTTCTTGAGCCTTCTGAGGAGGCTCACGGCTTCTCAGCAGAGCATAGCCAAGCTGATCGCTTTCGCCAACGTGCATGCTGACAAAGCTAGAAACGATATTTGGGACTGCACTGTTGGGGAGGCTGAAAAGGTGCGTGTTGTATGTCTCACAGTCTGCCAGTGCAAGATGTTGCTGGTCTCTCCTCAGAAAGGCAGACTCGACGCTTGCATGGTGTACGCCAAAACGGCGAGAATAGGATCGATCTGGAATGCTCTCTGATCACGCTGACGCTCCACTCCCATGCTTGACGCTTGTGACAGACAAATCTCAACGCTCGACTCAACATCCTCTTCTTCATCGATGCTCTGCTCAGCGAAGAGAATGTGGGCTCGACTTCGCAGCAGCCTGCCTCTTCCTCCCTTCTGCCCATGGACGAAGGGAGCATGGCGGCTGCAGGTGGCGGCTACCACGCGCTGGCTACTCGGGATTTGAAAAAGCTTCTACATTTCACTGTGCCTGATACGTGGCAGGGTATTCGCTTGAACGCTGCAAATGCTCTCACTGTGAGTAGAGTTTGGCGGATAGTGTCCCGAGTGCACTTGAGCCAGCTTCTGGCGGTCAAACGAAACAAGTCTGCTCACATGACGCTCGACCAACGGTCCGTCAGGTTCTTGCGACGTGGAAATCGCAGTGCCTCTTCGATCGAGCACTGCTGGAAGAGATCGAATCAGACATCAAGATGAAGCAAGCCAATGCCGCCAAGCTACCACGAGCCACGTCGGATGGCTCAGAAGAGACATCCGAATCGGACATCCTGCGACGCATAGAGGAAGATCGCGAGAGGCACAAGTTGCTGAGAGAAAAGCATTGGATCGTACCCAGTCGAGATTTCTTCAACTGTGTGCCAGCTTTGGCCGCTACGAACCACACGACCTTGCCATGGAATGCAGGAGCAGCCCTCACCAAAAGCTCGGCCGAGACAGTGAAAACGGCGAATGGTGCTGCGGAAGAGCGGGTCGATAGCGCAGGCTGGTTGTCCAAGAGTCAGCACGCGCCTGGGCTTGGAATGGGTAGCGCGAGCAGCAAAAGGCCTGCGCCTGCCTCCGCTGCTGGGACCTCTGGTCAACCCAACAAGAAAGCTCGCACAGCCGGCTCTGTCAATGCTTCCGCTTCTACGACATCTGCCGCCCATAGCGGCGCTCGTCCTGCGAACACTGCTTCAGCTACATCAGCTCCTCAACCCAAGCAGGAGCCCGTCGAAGACGCTCAGCCGTCCAACAACACGTCTCTCATCGAATATCAACAGCTTTGGGATAATACTTCAGATCTCAACGATGATGACCTGGAGGAAATTGAGGAGGACGACCGAGAATGGTGGGGTGGCACGCAGGCTGTCGAGAGAGCGCAACGGGAGAGGAAGGAAGCGCTGGAGCGCGAGCTGGAGATGCGCAGAGCTTCGGAGAGGGAAACTCCGGCGGAAGCTGAGGCACAGACTCCAGCACGGGCACAGGCACGGGACGACGCACGAGCAGAAGAGGTCGAAAGGGCAGCTGGCCAATCCTCCAGGGACGTGGAGATGGAAGAGGGGAGGAGGGACGGAAAGCTCTCGCTTGATCGCGCAAGAGCCAGCCTTTCTCCCACTTTTAAGAAGAAAGACATACCGACAGCTCCCTCTGCTTTGAGGTCAAGAACAGCAGAGCGAGCGTTCTCCAGAAGCTCGGACGACGAGGACGGGCAGGGCAGAAGTCGGAGTGGGCGACCTTTCAGGACTGAGAGAGATCAGACGAAAGGTCGACGTGATAGAGGATGGGGTCAAGGCGCGGTGGAAGAGCGACGCGGGGGAAATGACAGAGGCGCTGAGCGAACCAGATATGGAGATGGCTACCGGAGAGGGCATGAAGTCGAAGACCGCACAGATGATCGCGAGAGCGTATCAAGTCCGAACAAGGGCAAGAAGGAGTCTGCAAGATCAGATGCTGAAGACGACGATTTGGACGAGCGAGACCGAGATCGGAAGGGTGATCAAGACAAGGAGCGGGCGAGAGACTATTCGAGGGAGGGAACAGCATCTCGAACACATTCGGGTAGATCTTCGCCATACCGCAAGGAATCGCCCGCTGCGACGCCTTCCGGTCCTAGAGCATCACACGGCTCGAGCCGCTCTTCGGCTTCTACTTACAGACCTGGTCAGGCTTACTCGATGCACCCTCACTATGGTAGAGGGGCTGCCTATGCTCATGGATATGGATCCAGGTATCGCGGACATGCTCCGTACAGGGGAAGGAGATGATCTGGCAGACCGTGCAGCACAAGATCTTGCTAGGTTCGGAAAAAAGCACTCTTGCTATGATTCCCAGGAATCGTGCATGTGCTTCGTATCGATGTCCAAGTCGACGAGTCGTCCGTCATCCAAGAAACTCTCCTACTGGCAAAGTAAGAGCGGTGTGCTACTAGCTGTAGTGTTGGTTGCGTTTTGGCGGGACAACGCATACGAAGCGGGTCTTGCGGTAGGAAGCTATCAAATTCGGCTCGATCCTTCTCTTGGTGGTCTGTCGTCGTGCGTGCTCAACGTCGCACACACGGCTTGATGATCGCTCATCAAGCCGAGCTGTACGTGCTCGTCTTCGCACGTCCAGCCATATGGTGCATGGAAAGAAGTCGTTGGCCGCGCAGAGGCCATGCTCGAGTCTCTGCTACGACTCGGAAGCAGAGGCGTGATCTTCGGACCCGGAGTGAATGTGCGATCACGACAAGCCAGTGATGGTAGCGCGCTGGCGCCGCTAGCCGAGCTAGGCCAAGGGGAAGCCTAACGTGCCAAGATGAAGAACGATCGAATCGTCACCGTGCCGTCTGGAACGCAAAGTCTGTCGGTCCGCAACCTTGCGACCCAATACTTACCTGTCTAGAAAGTTCCACAACGGCGCGTTGATCGATTTGCTCGGCGTTGCCAATGTAGGGAGCGATCACCCTAGGTTGCCCTCGACCTTCGCTGTACCGGGGACCAACACTGGAAGCTTGCGAAAGTCTATGCAGATCTCTGAAGATTCGGCAAGAGAGAATGACCCTTGCTCGCAGAAAGATCGGCTCGCCACGCTTCAGCAGCAGCGCCGTCGCAATAGGCAAGACGTCCTGCGATGCAAAGATTGACTCACGTCGCGGGCATTTGGAGGGGCCAAAAGATTTGAGAATGCCAGCCAAAGTAGGCGCAAGCTTGCACGATGTGGATGAGCAGGACAATGACAAAATAGAGCAAGGTGGTGATTAGCAACCTGTGAACGATTCTGCTGTCTGCTGACTTTCGTCGCCAAATGTTAAGCTTGCCCCTTTTGCCAAAGCCAAGGATGCTCGACGTGACCACCACAGCATCGTAGGCGACTCCGATAAAGTAAGGCAGGAAACCCCAGATGTCGAAAGGAGGCGAGTGGCAATTGCCCAAGCCCAGAGGGTTCTGTGTACTTCTGGCGGCGACTATGAACGCTATCCAGGAGAATGATGCGATGATCCAGCAGGCTATCAGTGTATTCTTGACCTTCAACTGACCGAGCCAAATGGCTGTGACTCTGCTGATGTATAGGAATTGTGCCGCGCTTGTGGCTACTGCAAGACACATGCCACTGACTCGCATTGCTGGGGCACACAAGTTCTGCTCGCTCCCTCCGATGCAGAACATCGCGACGACGATGGCCAGATAGACGATACCGCTGCCGCGTGCCAGAAAATAGGCACACAGACTGACCCGAGAGGTGGAGCGGCGCCATAAGCAAGTGTCGAAGTCGAGTCCGCCAAGCATTTCTCCTAGCATCAAGCCCACTGAGCCGTACAAACCGTCAGCGAGAGAGTCGGGGGCGTATAAGCATGAGCTTTCGTGTCAGGTCCAAATCAAGCTGAGAACAGCGATCGACCCCATCAAGACGATGAAGGGAATCGGGTACGCACAGCAGCCACAAGTCATGAACGAGATTGCAGCGGCTTGATTGGCATATTGAACGACTTGATCAGCCAGGGTCTGGCTTGGTGTTGCATTCATGTTGTGACGAGCTGGCGATGAAAGGTGCGCTTGACCTGTTCGATCTTGACGAGCCACAGTGGCTTTTAGCAAACTCTTCGCGGTCGGTCCGTCGACCAGATGCTTACTCGAAATCCCTGCAGAGGAGCATGAAAGGGTGTGTGGGGTGGTGCAAAGGGAAAGAAAGAGGAGGCTGGTGAGCAGATTTCATTGCTCGTTGCTGAGAGCGTCGATGCCTTTCTCGTGAGTCATGTACCACCAACGGCACGTCGGCCTTCCTATCACTCTTCTGCTGGACTCGTGACTGCAGAGGCACATCTATTCACGGTTGGTATAAGCGATCCACCGCCGATACAGAGGCAGCCCAGATGTGACAAGCAAGGCGCGGAATGCATGTTCATAGTCTCTGGCTTTGATGACAACGTACAGCGTGTGCACTCATACAGAACAGCTGCAGCTTCTTCGACAACTATGCAGTGATAGATAATAGTGGATACGCCGCTTCCAGCATCCTCCGCGATGGCCCACCCTCGTAATAAGTATGCAAAGCGTCTACTCGATTGTGCAAGATATAATCACGAGTCCTTCATGCTTTGCTGCTCTCGGGCAGCATTGGTCCGAACAAGCGGGAAATTCGCCGAAATCTGCACATCTCAACAACCCCTTCGGACGTACAGAATCAAGCTCGATCGATGCAATCGCCGAGCTATATAGCCAAGTGGAGGTCTCGGCGCTGATGATTCACACTCGTCATCCTTTGTGATGCTCTTGCTCGGCTCTGCAGTCTTGGGCGCAGCTAGCTAGGTGGTCAAATTTGCGGTGTGACCTCGCATGCTGTAGACGAGGCTGATGGGCGCATGTAACTTCGCAGCCCCCTCACGTTCCTGATGGTCTCAAGCTCACTGATGGATCGTGAGGATGGAGCATGTGGTCATCTCTTAAGAGCATTGCGATGCGTAGTAGGTGATTGCGTACGCGGACGCATGCGCACTTACTTCAAACGCTCGCCCGTGCAGATGCAATCTTGAAGGCGACATGAAGCTGTTAGACGATTCCATGTCTGCTCAAATCTCATCACCTCGTCCACAATCAGATTGTTGTGATCCGCGACCGTAGCTGATAAAGCAATTGTCTTGAGCGCGATGAGTCGGAGCCGAGTGCAGAGGGCTGGATGCCGAAAACGCTGGTGATATCTAGGCAACTGACGAGCTCACTCAGTAAGCACATGGATTCGTCTCAAGTTCAGCAAGCACAAGGGCAACACCGAGGCCAGAAGCTTCGGGATCTCTAGGCCTTCTTGATGCGCAGCCTAGCACTGGGCAGGGGCATGCGGTCCCTGATAAAAGCAGCCGCATCCCTCTGGCTAGCCCAAAAAGCTTCTCCATCCTCTTTCGCATCCCTCTCGACCGCATCCAACAGATCCTTGAGCGCATTTGCAGCTTCCGAATGCGCAGCGAGAGCCAATCCCACTAGCTGTGTAGGTTGAGGCCTCTTCATGTCCATCTGTCGCAAAGCCTTGCGGTAAGTGTGCTGCACCGGCGATCCGTCTCCATACGCGCTGAGAGCAATGGCAACCTCTCGAGTCTTGAGACCAAGCTGTGGGCCAGAGAATGGAAGCGTGGCAAACAAGACTCGAGCGCCGGCGTGAAGCCTCTTGAAACGGAAGTAAGTATCATCGATGAGAGCCAGATGCACGCGCTCCACCATCCAGGACGCCGCCAGCCCAAGTACCCAGCCTGGTGGAGTGAAGAGGAATAGCGCGGCTACGATAGTGACCAGTACGGCATGCGTCAAGAACGCAATTACAAAAGCGCTGCGGCAGAAGTTGCGCAGTTGCGATACGTTGATCAGCGAAACGTGTCTTTGCTTATCTTCGCAGACAGCGCACTCACCACAAAGCCTTGGCGCTAGCCATGCTTTCTTCTTCGTGACTAGCGTACTTCAAGCTCAGACTAGCTCCGACGATGTACGCAGGAGCATAGATCACCGCCATGAGGGCAATGTGAGGGAGTCTAAGGGCCAGCTTGAAGGCCTCGTCGAGCACGAAGATGGCAGCAGACGAAGTGGATGGCAAAGCGCTCGCTGCTCTTCTGGCATCTAGCTGACCTCTGTTGGATCCCCAGCCGGTCCGCGCTGTTGCAGGTGCCATCCGCCGTGCTAGGTGGTTCAGCGTGAACACCTCTGTTCGAGCTGCCAAAGAGACGGCCTGCAGAGTGAACAAGGCATCCATTGCCTCCTCGGCAACTAACTCCGAAGAGTCGAACAGCGAGATGAATCTGTCGCGGCAGCATGGCATATCAGCAGGATTTCGCATGGGAATAAGCATAGCGTCGCAACTCACGCATTAGTGATTTCGACAAAATCCTTGAGAGGCACCATGGCAGGTCGCCACCAGACCAGCTCCCTTGCCATTTTGGCGGCATGCCAAGTCTTCCAATCGGGAGCATCGATGGTCATTTTGTGTATCTCTTCCCCAATCTTGTCCGTCAGCTTCGCGACGGCCCGCTTGGCAGCTGCAGCGGCATCTTGCTCTCCAGTGGTGGGGCCACCAAGCCCAGGCGTGGGCGGCGCGGACGGACCAGAGGCTGTGGCTGTGTCTAGACCGAGCTTCAAAGAGTGACCAGGAAATGCCGGAGTAGCAGCGCCAGAGGCGGTGTCCCCTGACGACCTTGGTTGAGCAAAGTAGGACTCTTGCAGATCTTGCGCTGCTCCAGCAAGAAATTCGCGCGTGAAGTCGTCGATGGAGAAGGCTTTGCCGTATCTGCATCAGTGAAAGCATTGGTGGGCGTTAGCGCGAGATTGATGCTTATACTGATCCACTCTAGCGTCGAAGCATTGTAGGTTTAGCACCACGCAGTCTCACTGGAAGATGGCGTCGCCTCTGAATCGGCTCTTTTCAGTGTAGTTTAGAGAGGCTGGAACGATGAGCAGCTTCGTCTTTGCTGGATTGACCGCGCCCTCCAACACGAGATGCTGCAGAAGGGTTTGAGCGCGCAGGCTCAGAAGGTCAGCATGAGCTGGCAAAAGAATCCTATCGCACCCCGGCTCACTTTGGCAAATTCGAGAGCGGCCCAGGCAGCTCCGGCCTTCATGCCATGCAATCGATGCTCAGTATATGAGCCGCCTGCGGTGAACATTCATTGGATTTAAGCTTCTGGCTTTGAGACGGCCCAATTTGTGTCGGACAGAACTCACCCTCTGGGAACAAACCAATGGCCTCTCCTGCTTTCATGGCTTCAAAAGTACCGGCAAACAGGTCTTGATTGTCCTTCGTCTTACGATCCACCATGATATTGCCGCTGGAATGCAGAATCCACCTGAAAGGCTGACGCTTGTACAAGCCCCTTTTGGCCCAGTAGTGGATTGGACGACGGTGCGGCAAGTATGCCGAGATTAGAGCCACATCCATGATAGTGCTGCGCAATGTGGGCGGGCATGTCAGGCATACAAACTCGCACAAAGGCGCGTCGGATCTCTTCTGCCGTTCCTACCACGAGACACAAGCTCGACATCATGACCGGCTTGGCCAGTCGGAGCAAAGACTCACGAGAAGTGAGTAGCGCAAACAATGATGGGTCCATCCTTCGGTATATCTTCTCCTCCAATGATCTCTACCCGTTTGAAGAAGTGGGCAGCACACCTTTCACCGATGAAGCGCATCACGCTGTACATCGGACCGAAGCCCGCTCCGGGTGGAGGGCCGTGAAGACGTCGGCGCTAGCAGGCGCAAGTAAGGGGGAAGCTAGTCAGATTCGTTCGCCTGGAGCGTGAGCTCCATGACTGGAGGCCAGACCGAGTACATTCAAGGAGATGCTGTCGAAGACCTACCACGCCAGCACTCGCGTCGTGTCTGCCGATCACAACCGCATGCTTCCTGCATTCCCCATCCATCAAGTCATTTGCGCACCATGCCCCGCAATAAGATCCCAAACGAGGATGTCACAACCATGCACTCACACGTTGTTTTTGCACCGCACCAGTCAGCGCAGCGCCCAACGCTCCGCTTTGCACGGTAGCTCTGTCTCTTTTCCGCAGTCCATCCGCCTCGGTTGTGCTGTGGACTACTTTGCTCGTGTCGTCATGATCGATTCCCTCCTTGGCTACTGCAGCGTACGAGCTGCCATTGACTTGAGGTTGAGATGGAGGAGACATGATTGCCAGTTCTGAGCTGCTCGACAAATTTGAGAGTTGAAGTTGTCTGGCGGAGAGGCTCTGCTGTCCCTTCGGCTTGTCGGCTGTGTGCTGGCGTCTCTAGTCTTCAGCTGCGCAGATTACTGGTGATCGAGCGCGTGTCGAAGTGGTGGTCGAGTCGATAACACTCAAACATGCTCGTGCAAGCGTGAAGTGGAGCGACAGATACAGCTAGCGAGCACCAAACAGGAGTCATGCAGCCGTCACATTCACCCATATCTGTGGAGCGTGACTGCGCTGCGTCCGTTGCCGGAAGGTCTTCGCATCTCGCATCTCGCAGCAGGCAGCTGCACGCATGCTGCACACGGCTATATAGGAGGCAGTCAGAGCGCGGCTGCCGCCCCACACCAGCGACGCTCGCACCTGCCATGCTTGGCTCGATCGATATACAGTATAGCGTCCCTGCAGCCATTATAATCACGAATGAACATATGCAAGCACGCGCGGGCCACCCCCACCGCGATCAGACCTGCAGCCATTAGAATCACATGTGAATCCGCGGTGCAGATGCGAGGTAGGATACTCGCAGCAAGACAAGAGAGTCAACAGTCGATCGTGCCGGTGGAGCCAATCGCGGCCACGACGAGAGAGCCTTCTTGGCACGGGCGGCCAGTCTAGCGCTTCGAGACAGTACTTGACCATGATTCAAGTCTCTGACTCTCATCTCAAGCTTTTATGGCATTCCTTTTGTATCGTTGGGGTGGAGAGAGCGGAGAGGAGGCTGCGCGCTTTGAAGCGTTGACTCCACACAGCGCAAGGGTCGCACGCTTAAGCATTCCCTGAACATCAGAGAAGGCGCACCAAAGCAAGCTGCCCTGCCAATCTCTCGAAGCTTGCAGTCTTGAGTATCCTTGCATCGTACACACGCGAAGCGCCACACAGGAGCACAGCGCACCAAAGAGGCAGATCGTCAAGCAATGGCCACGATGATGGGGTTGCAATTGCAAGGACACTTGGAAGGACGAGGTCATGCGCTAGCGAGAGAGCCGGGCGTACGACAATATCGACCGGTCTGGTAGCGGTAGCGTTAGCGCAGATATCAGCTTGGCGGGAGAGAAAAAGTGTACGGACGTTCCCGAAGATGGTGGAGCGCTCACCCACGCCTGTCCGGGAGACAAGCGGGGAGCCAGCTTCAGCATGGAAGGGTCTCGAACGCCATTTGGCAAAGTGTCGTTAGCTCTTCGCGCGCTACTGGCCGACTCGGGGCAGATTCGTAGAGGATGTCGAAGTACTCGAAATCAGTACGCTCTCTGCTTGGAAGCAGGGACGTACTTGGTGGGTACGACAGGACTCTGCATCGCTTTGATCTGATCCAGCCTCTTGTGTGAGACTGAACGTCTCAATCTTGCCTGTTCCGTAGGACTCTGCGGAGCCGAGTGGGAATACGTGGGCGAAAGTCTGCTTTCTCCAATTCCTTTTCCAGAAAGTGTGTGCTCCCAGCCTTTGGGCTTCGTCGGGTCGACGTAAGAAGGAGAGAGTTTGAGATCTACCACTCGAGCCAGACCTGACCTAGTCCTGCTTGGGCTTGAGCTGCCCCTGCTCAAACTTCGCAAGAGACCCTCAAATTCTGCTCCCGCCCGCGGTAGCAGCTCAATGTTGGGTTTGGGAGAGCCTTGGCGCACGAGTGCGCCCGAGGCTGCGATGTGTGAAGCCTGCGAGAGAATTGGCGCGGCGCTGATCGTTGAAGACAAGAGCATCCACTGGCATGCTGCCAGCAGAAGCGAAGAACAAGGCGAGAACATCCTTGCGTTCTGAGGCTGACGGAACAGCCTTCGAGAAACGTCAACAGTGTCAAGCGTAGACCTTTTGTTGCTTTACTCTTCAACTCACCTTGTGCTCGTCCAGCGAAATGCAAGCAGAACAAAGATGGAAACCTCTGCTCAAGGCCCAAAGTGATGCTGGCAAGTGGGAAAGGCAAGGTAGAGAGAAGGGGGGCAACGCCGATACGGCTTGTAGAAGAGTCTTAAGTACTTAACGCTCACCGTCACGATTACTTCGTGGAAGGTGGGTTATATCTGACTGGCGACCGAGCGACTCGGGGAGCTCCACGCTGCTCTCACCTTGCCACTGCGCAGTCTGAACTAGGCCATGCGGGTCGTACAGCAGATCAGGGAGAGACCCAGCATCGGTCGACTGCTCGGGCAGAGCCTCAAACGCCCATTGCGCGCTTTGCGCACGTTGCCGTTCCAATTTGAGCTACTGTATGGTGTGGCCATTCGAAGAGTGTCGGTTTGCGATGCTTTCATTACTTGCATCGTCAGACAAGGCTCGCCACGCCTAGGCTGAGAGCAAATGAGCTATCGTGCCTTTACGACCGGGAACTCTAGCTATTTGTGCGCGCGAGGTGGTGCAGCTGAAAACCGCCTTGATGCGCAAATCTGCAATGTGAATCGAATTCCACCTTGCTTGCTTGTCTGCGCAAGGCGTGGCACCCCCGCAGCTCAAATTGTATGACGTCGTCACTCCACTTACAGCCCTAGGCCAAGGATGTGCAGGTGAAGGCGAACAGTTATGACTCCGATGAAGTCTGTGGCGGGTTCTTGTCTGTGCCAACGACAGATCCCAGAATGTGACTCCGCTACAAGCCAGAGCACAGGTTCGATCGTCTGCCCGGCTCGGCCTACCACCATCCCACTGCTATGCCTAGCGAAGAGACTCCCTAATGAGCAAGAGACCGCTGAGGTCGTCCCAAAAGCTATTCACCTGACTCCCCACCGTCCACGCTTCTCATCGTCTGATACGGACGAGTGGGGCTGCGCGCGAGCGCTGGGGCATCCGAAGCACGACCGAGTCAAGCTTGACTGGCGGGCAAAGCTGGACTGGAAAGAGGGCATCCAGAGACGGATGTAAAGGAGGACACCTCGTGCCGGTCTGTGCGTGCGCCGCCGAGAGTTGGTTTGGCGTAGACGAGTCGGTCTTGCGCCAGGTTTGATGAGCTCTAGCCCTTCAGCAGTGCCTGCAAATGCGACGAGTGGACGTGATACTATCGCACCCAACCACCTAGCGGTAGTAGCTCGGTGGCGAAGTAGTTTCTTTTTAGGTATGGGGCGCTTCTGCAAGTAGAGTCGCACTGGTCTGCTGGGCGGCTGAACGCCTCCCTGGACGCCGCAGGGCGCCATACCACCTCCACGAGCTTTCGCTTCCAGTGCTCTTCATCCAAGCCACGAGCTCTGCACGAGTTTTTTTGGGCAATACCACCACCACTACCGGTTGCCAGACTCTAAAACGGCCAGCTTAGCAATCTGTCCACGTCTACATCAGTGCCGTAGGCTCACCGAGTCTGCTAGTCTGTCGCCCATTGACGAAATACGATTCTCTGCCGTCGGTCGCCACAGTGGCTGCGGCAGCCGCGCGAAAAAGTTCGTTTATGCGAATGCGCCGATTTTGATTATCTCTTGTATGATTACATGTTCGTGTGTCCGATCGCACATGCAAACTTTGTATAGTAGAGTAGTTTGGAGGAAGCATCGAAGATCTTGGCGACGCTTCTGTGGTGGCGAGGCATGCTGCACGCCCCTCACCGCTGATGATCCCCAATTGTTCTACACCGACGAAAGATCCGCGCTGGCATCCGCTTGTGCTACCGCCGATTCGATCGCCTGTGCACTCATTTCAGTGCTCTGTGCCGCAATGATCGGCGCGTCCCGTCCATCCCTCTCCATCAAGACCGTAGACTTGTCCTCAGGCTTGAGCCTGGTGATCCCGATGCTCTTGAAACCGAATTTGTCTTGGTACCAAGTGTCGGCATGACTAGCATGGAGCACCCAACGCCATCTGTCTCGTCCGTCAGCATCGAGTATATGACGCATAAAGGGCGTGCCCAGTCGCAATTTCTGATACTCTTCGAGCAAAAAAACGTCGGACAAGTATCCAAAAGATGCGCCGTCTGAAATGATCCGCGTAAAGCCTGCCAACTTGCTGCTGCTGCTGCTGCTGCTGCTGCTGCTGCCCGCCTTGGCCGCTGCTGATTCTACGCGCTCTCGAACATCGTAGAGCCCGAATATCATGTACGAGTTGGGCATCTCTATCTCGAATTGCGCCCGCGTTCGCGTTTGGCCCCAGTATGCTTTGGTGTGCAGCCAGTTCCAGACCACTTCCCACGGCATGCGATCCCGACTCGTATCTATCTCGAAACCTCCCAGCGTCTCTTGAGGATCGGAGTGTAGCCTCAGTGGATAAGCGGTAGCGTTGACAGACATGCTGAATGCGATGTAATCGGAATGTTAGAGCTTACGAACGCGCTATTCGATCTTGACCTTGATGATGATCTTGACCTTCGGTACCACGAGACGCGGCTATTCGCGTGCGTGCGTGCGTGCTTGCGTGCGCTGCGAGTCCTGGCTGCTCGGCCAACCTGAATCACGAATGATGGACTTTCACGCTGCCTGATGATGAGAGTCGACCACAGAGTCTCGAGCGCACTGACATTGCGCACCGTGAAGATACGCAATGATAATCTCTAGCACTACACACGCATCGCTTGGCTCGCAATCGCCTGTACGAAGCCAAAAGTGGACGTGACTCGACACCAGCAGTTTCCGTTGCCTGCATGAAAGCTGCTTCTCTGTCAGCGTGCATCATCCGTGTAAAGACGGAGGTTTCTTCTGCTGCAGCTCTGCTCGACAAATCATGAGGCCTCTTTTGCTGAAACACTCTTCCCGAGCCTACGCCTCCAAAGGAGAGCTGGCAAGATGGAGATCAGGAAAGGCATCAGGGACCAAGTCTTGATTCAAGATTCATGATCAGTCTATCAAGAGTCTGATGAGTCCTCTCACGATCTCATATCACCTACGCGCGTATATAGGTGATCGTACGCGCAAAGAATGAAAGCAGGGCAAAGCACGTGATCAAAAAATCTGGGTGCGGGGCTAAAGAGCGCGACGCGTCGTCGCGTAGCGCGTAAAGTGTTGCGCACGGCGCGGACCCACGCACGCATGCATGCAGCAGCTAGCATGGCGAATCAAGTCCTGCGACCACCACAGAACGCCGCAAAGGTCAAATCTGGCTGCCAGTCACTTCGACCTTTAATACCAAATCTCCCCAGCGACTCATTCCCCTCATCGATCGGTCGAATCGCTACAGTACACTGAAGACGACCATGTCTGACATTCCTTCGGGGAAGTTCCAGCCTGATGCGCAAACACATTCGCTGAGCGCAATAGACGAATCCAATCAGCAAGGTGCAACATCGCTGGAGTCTCTTCGAGGCTTGCTGGATGGAGCTAAGCGCGATGCAGCCTTGAAGCAGTACTCGAGCGCCGCCGACAAGCTAGCCGAAGCGCTCGAAGGTCTGTGAGTGCAAGAGATTCATTATGCATGGCCATGCTATCTGGCATTTCTTGCTCACCCGCCTCGTCTGCGACTGAATTCCTTGGCCAGGCGCGAGACGTATGCTGAAGATTCGCCAGAATTAGCGCCCATCTTTCATCGCTATGGACATGCTTTGCTGGAGCATGCTATCACCACCTCCGGAGCATTGGGCGGCGGAGGTGGAGCAGCGGGACCTGCCGAGGCGTCCATTCCCAGTCGTGGAGGTGCAAGCGGCGCAGCATCATCCTCAAGCAAGCCCAAGACGGACAATGCAGCGAATGGTATCGCAAAGGATGAGCGTTTCAGTTTTGGAGGAGATGGGCCAGAATCGGACGACGAAGGCGCTGCTAAAGGTGGAGAGGAGGCACCTGCCGACCAAGAGGAAGAAGAGGACGACCTCAGCGTGGCTTTCTCTGTTTTGGAACTTGCTAGAGTTCGATATGAAAAATTGATCGAACAGGGAGACGACGTCAATTTGAACACGCTGGATGGCGAGCAGTGGAGCTCGTTGCAGATCAAGGCGCAGCTGGCCGAGGTGCTCAATGATTTGGCGGATGTAGGTCTCGAATCAGGTAAGCTCCTGGCGCTAATTCGAACCGCTTCCACAGTGCTGCAGCTCACATTCAACGTGTCTCCGAACGTCTTGCGGCTCAGAGAACTTTCAACAAGCTTCAGCAGACTACTCCTCAGCCTTGACGCTGCTCACACCACTACTGCAGCGTCATTCGCGTCGACTTGCAGACGCCTATCTCCGACTTGGTCTGGCGTTGGAGTACCACCCAGAGATGGAACAGAGAGCAGAGGCGAAAAAGTACGTGGAAGGAGCTCTGCATGCTCTGGAGACGCGCAAGGAGTCTCTGGAATTCCGGGTAAAGGTGTTGAGCCAAGGAGATGAGAAGTTGAAAGCGGAAGCTGCTGCTGCGCTTGTCCGCGAGGAAAAGGCTCGAGAGGAGAGCGTCCGAGCGGCGAGGGAGAGGGATGACCTGCAGGCTGGGCAGGATGCTGGTGGAAAAGGCAAGGGTAAAGATGCAGCGGTGAAGGATGTGCCTTTTGAAAGGGACGATGTTGCCGAGATGGGCGAGGAGAAGGTCAAGTCTGAGCTGAAGGATGTGGAGGAGATGCTGCAGGAGCTCAAAGCAAAGGTGAGCAGCTGCTTTTTCTGCCTCTTGCTGCAGCAGCATGGCCCAAAGTTCGCTTCTGACGTCGCTTGCTTTCCTTCATTTCCTCGTCCAGCTCGAAGAGTACGCGCAAGCACCTCCCGAAACGTCGTTGGCTCCCGCAGGATCGGCGCAAGCGCTGAGCGGCGATCAGGAGTCCTTGCAGAAAGCCATCACCGAGGCTCTTCTGGGCGGATCGACCAACCCTTTTGGCGCTTCCTCCTCCTCCTCCAGCTCTGCCGCGCAGATCGGAGCACTGGATCCGAATGCCAAAGTCAACGATCTGAGCTCGATGGTGAAGCGCAAAAAGAAGAGCAGTGTGGAAGAGAAGGGTGCGGATGCCAGCGGTGGCAAACGCAAAGTAGATGCCGAAGAATCGGGGGTGAGCATTTTGCAGCAGCAGCAGCAGCAAGATGCGACTTTTGCGGAACAGGATGGTGCGAGCGCGAAACGCGCACGTGTAGAGACGGTGGAGGAGTAGATGTGGGTCGCGCCCGCATACGTGCGACGCTCGCGATGAGTCAAGCGATCGAGACGTTTGCATGTAGCCGTAGCTCGATGCGACTTTTGGGGAGAAATGCATGACATTCGCGATGCGATGAAAGGGGGGGGGGGGGG